GGGCAAGGGGAGGGGCAGAAGAAGGGCAGGGCACAGGGAATGCGAGAAGAAAGAGAGAGGGCAAAATTCCCGGTCGATGAGCATGCGGTCTACGGCGGCTTCGGCTTCTTCGAGGGTTGTTGCGACCACCACGCCCTTGCCCGCTGCGAGCCCATCGGCTTTCACGACTATGGGCGTGCCCTGCTCGCGGATGTATGCTTTGGCTTTGGCTGGGTCTGTGAAGGACGCGTGCTGGGATAGAGAGGGGTGGGAGGAGAGGGAGGGGGGAGAGGGGGGTTTGGGATGAGAGTGGTGGGTTGAGGTTGGATGATGGGAGAGGGAAGGGGACGGGGAAAGGGAGGGAGAATAGGAGGGAGAAGGGGAGGGGCACGAGACATGACATGCGAGCACAAAGAAAGGAACAGCATCTGAGAGGCATAGGCGGCATGAAGGGAGCGGTGTGGAATGGTGGGCGTGAGTGTGGTGGGGGGGGCGGGGGAGCGGGGATGATTGGGGAGGAGAGAACATGCAAGAGGAGAAAGGGAGGTTGGGGAGGTTGGCGGGAGGGAGGGGGCCTGGAGACCAAACCAGGAACAGAACCCCTGGGCCACGCCCATCCAGACAAAACCCTAAACCTTCCTCACCTCATGATTCTCCAAACACCTTCCCTTCCCCCCGCCACCCAATCCCACTCACTCTCTCACCCTCCCACTCTCTCTATCTCTCTCTCCCCCTTCCACTCGCTCTAATTTCCCCCTCTCTCACCCTCTCCCTCCCTTTCTCACGATCGTCACACTCCAGAGCTCACCTTAGCCGTCGGAATGCCGTACTTATCGCAGATCATCTTCATAAACCCCTTCGATCCCTCCAGCTGCGCCGCGCCCTGCGTCGGCCCGAACGCGGGAATCCCGTTCTCTACTAGATCGTCGACTAATCCCGAGACTAAAGGCGCTTCGGGACCGACAACGACGAGCCCGACGCGGTTTTCGCGGCAGAATTCGATCACGCTCTTGCTGCTGCGGATGTCGAGGGACGGCAGACACGTGGCGTCGCCGGACAGGCCGATGCCCGCGTTTCCCGGCGCGCAGAAGACGTGCGCGGTGGAGGGCGAGCGGCGCAGCGCGTAGCAGAGCGCGTGCTCGCGGCCGCCGCCGCCCACGACGAGCACGGAGAGCGGCGCGCCTGGGCGGAGCGTGCAGGGGGCGGCGGAGAAGGTTGGGGGAAGATTGGGGGGGGAGAAGAACGGTGGAAATGGAAGGGCGGGACGGGGCGGGAATTGGTGGGGGGGAACGGGAGGCGGAGGGATGGGAAGAAGGGGAAACGGAGGGAATGAGCACTCAATAGCATACGGTGGAGTGGGAAGGTAGAAGCGTATGTGGGGAAGGAGGCATTAAGCAAGTATCGGATCAGTCTATGTGGGAACGATGGGGTTCAGTGTGCGTGAAATCAGAAACAAGATAGCGGAAGCAGAGGGTGGAAGCAAACGAGAAAGGTACCGAGCTGTTTGCCCAAGACAGAGATCAGCGACGTGACGCAAAAGAATACCTCACCGCAGAGATCATATCGACATCATAAGAATATCTTACCGCTTGCGTCACCATCGCCCGTCGACGTCGTCGCGCTACTTTTCTCCGCATTCTCCGCGCGGCAGGTCGCGCGGCGGCCACGGGGCTTCCTCGCAGCGCGTTTGCGCGCCATCGAGCGTTCGCCCTCGATAAAACCAAGGGGCGATCCGCCTCCGGAAACAGCGGCCAGAGCGGGAGTCACGGCGGACGTGGCGGAGTAAGTGGGCGCGAGAGACGCGGTGGATTGGCGGAGAAAAGCCGCGGAGCGTTGAGGGGGGAGAAGGAGGTGCGCGGAGGCGGAAAAAAGGCAGGACTGAGAGATTACCGCGCGCGCCATCGGTGTGGGAAGTATGTGAGACAAGACGAGGGGAAATGTATAACCAGAGAGGAAATGCCGCGATGCCGCGGTGAGGCAAGATCGTCCTGACAAAACCGTGATGTCTAGATGCAATCTGGTCTGGATGGACCAATTTGGGAGCAAGTGAATACAATAGGCGCGCGTGTGTGATATTTTCCTCCCTCCACAGGTGTTTCTGCTGGACTGGAACTATGTCGCGCGTGAGCGATGTCTGAGCAAAATGAAGATGCAGGAGTTGTTAGTAACGTTATAGTGCGTTTCCTTAAAGATATACCTCGATTAAAAGGGGTATGCTGTAAAAAGTAAATATCTCGTGCTAGCACGTGAGCGAAACCCGACATTGGTGAAGCCGAACCGAACTGTCAACTTTCCTTCAAAAGGAGCACCTCGTGACAATAACGATTTTCCGCTGGAAAATCAAGGACGCCTCATCATAGTTTATGTAAGATAGCAGGTTGTGAAACCCGGGTTTACAGCGCAAAAACAGCACAAACATGCAAGCCTTCAAAACCCGCTCAAAACCCGAGACACGGGAACGGGAATGCTTACGGCTTACAGCAGCTTCCTTTGATTCCCCATAGCCCTAAACCTTTACACTTCAACGCAGGTCCCTAGACGCGTGTTTTTCGTAAAGCGACATAGTTTTAGTCAACGGGATTGCCGAGTGGGCTTTCGTCTAGTATCTTTCTACCTTGGAGGAGCCTTAGGAGGGATTCTTCATCATAACCACAATGCCGCCTAAATCATCCAAGGCGAAACGCAAAGCCCCCCACCCTAAATCTCCGCCAGATGCGCCGCCTGAGCCTGCGCAACCCGCGCAAGCCCCGGCGGCACCGCCGCTGGCGGTGAGCACGGTGCGCTTTGCGGATCTGCGCCCGCCGCTGTGCGCGGAAACCTTGTCAGTGCTGGGGCGCTTCGGGTTCGAGTTCGCGACGCCAGTACAGGCGGCGTGCGTGCCGCTGCTGTGCGGAAATAAGGACGTAGCGGCGGAGGCCGTCACGGGCAGCGGAAAAACTTTAGCATTTGTGCTGCCCGTGGCGGAGATTCTTCGACGGGTAGCCTCGTCGTTAAAGAAATTCCAGGTGGGTGCTATGTCGCAGTGTGACGGGTGCGCTGCTTCCTTGCGCCTTCCGCCCTCTCCCTGCCCTCTTCTGCTCTACTCTGATTTCTCACCTACACGTCTGCCCCGCACACGTCCCCATAACCGTATTTCCTCCCCCTTCCTTTCCCCCTCCTCCACCTCCCCTCCCCCTTCCTCTACCTCTTCCCCCCTCCACACGGCTACCCTTTCCCAACGCCCCCTCTTCCTCGACCCCATTCCGGTGTGCCGCTCATCTATCCCCCCAATCTGCCCTTGCTGCTTTTCCGTTTCCCCATTCCCCCCACCCCCCCCCCCCCGCCCCCAAAACCCTCAACCTCTTCCCCACTTTCCTGGGATTTTCCGCCAAGCAGCTCGGCGCGCTGATAATCTCCCCCACGCGCGAGCTGGCGGCGCAAATACACGCGGTGGCGGAGCCCTTCCTCTCCGCCGCGCTGCCCAACCTGCGCTGCATGCTACTAACGGGGGGACACGCGGTCGGCGTCGACGTGGCGCGCATCGCCGAGGACGGCGCGAATGTGATTATAGGCACGCCGGGCAGGATCGACGACGTGCTGTCGCGGCCCAACTGCGGCCTCGATTTAAGAGCGTTAGAGGTGAGCGCGGTAACTTCCGCTAACGGAGTTATGACAAACGGAGGTTTCGTTATGACAAACGGAGCCACCTGTACTTGGAGCACCTCTTGCAAACGGCTATATTTCAACGTACCTCTGGTGAAAGCGGAATCTCCATGGCCCGACCCTTGCATCGACCCCTCCCCCTCCCCCTCTCCCTCCCCCTTCCCATCACCCTCCTCCTCCCCCTCACCCTTACCCACCCCCTCCACCTCCCCCTTCCCCTCCGCGTCCGCCTACCCCTCCCCATCCTCTTCCCCCCCCCTTAGCGCGCATCCGCAGGTTCTGATTCTGGACGACGCGCCTGCTGGACCTGGGCTTCTCACCTCCGCACCTCCCTTCCCCCCCGCCCCTCCCCTCTCCCCCCAACGCCTTCCTTGCGCGTGTCCCCCTCCGCACTCCCCCCCCCACCCCGCGCGCGCGCAGGTGCTGATACTGGACGAGGCGGACCGTCTGCTGGACCTGGGCTTCGCGGCGTGCCTCGAGAGCATCCTGCACCGCCTGCCACGTCAGCGCCGCACGGGGCTCTTCTCCGCCACGCAGACGTCCGCGCTGCAGGAGCTCGCGCTCGCGGGCATGCGCAACCCCGTCCGCGTCGAAGTGCGCTCGCTCGCGCGCGCGGGCGCGGGTGGCGCGGGGGGAGCGGGGGGAACTGGGGGCGCGGCGGGCGGAACTGCTGGCGCTGGTGCTCCGGACGCCCCTGCGCCAAGGGGGGGGAGTGCGCAGGGGATGGGAGAAGGCGCAGGAGGAGCAGGTGGAGGTGCGGGTGGGGCGGGGGAGGGCGGGGAAACCGGGTATGGGACTGCGGTGGAGAAGGCGGGAGCAGTGAAGATCCCCGTGGGGCTTCAAGTGCAGGTGCGGGGGGAGGGGGAGGGAGCAGAGGGGGGGAAGGCCGATGGGAGCAGGGCGGGGTTGCGGAAGCATGAGGGTATGGGGAATGGGAGGAAGGGGGAGAGTGAGAAAGGAAGGGTGGGTGGGTGAAAGAATGTGTGACGGGGGGCATGGGCATGGGCATGGGCATGGGCATGGGGCGTAATGACCCAGCTCATTGACTCCTGTTTGACTCTGTTGACTCCATTGACCCGGCTCCCCCTGTTGCACTCGCTCGCCTCTCCCTACTCTTCTTACCTGACTCGCTTAAACCTTCTCCCCCCCGCTTGATTGTTCCCAACCCTCTCTTTCGTCCCCTCTTTCTCTCCCCCCTCCCCCTCCCCCTGCTTTCCCCTCCCCTTCCCTCGCTCCCTCCCCTTCCCGCCCCTTCACATACTGCACCCCTCTTCCACGTGTGCCCTCGCTCCTGCCCCCAGGCCATAGTGTGTGAGGGAGCGCGCAGCAAGGCGAGTCAGCTGGTGCACTGGCTCAGCCAACACCCCGACCGCAAAGTCATGCTGTGAGCCCGCCCTCCCGCCCTCCCGCCCTCCCGCCCACCCGCCCACCCGCTCACCCGCCCACCCGCCGGCCCATCGTTCTCTCCCACAGTCCGTCTTCAGTCTCTGCATGCACCTCCACATTCTCGTTTCTCTCTCTCCCTCTGCGCCCACCCCTCCCACCCCTCCCACCCCTCCCACCCCTCCCACCCCTCCCACCCCTCCCACCCCTCTCACCCCTCGCAGGTTCGTGATGACGTGTGCGTGTGTGGACTACTGGGGCTCCGTGCTGCCTCTGCTCTCGCCACTCAAGGGCATCTCCTTCTTCCCCCTGCACGGCAAGCTCAAACAGGTAAGTGACGCCCTGTGAAGGCCAGGTGGTATCTGAGGGGCAGGTGGTATCTGAGGGGCAGGTGGCATCTGCTATGTGACACGCGAAGCAGTCTGTTCACTCTTGGAACGTCTCAAACGTCTCCCCCTTTAGTAGGAACTTAGCAGGAACGTTTGACAGTGGCCGTGCCACTCCTCTTCCACGCTTTCACCCGTTGCACCCCCTCCCGTCCGCCCCTCACTCCCCTTTCCCGCACTCCCTTTCCCCCCCACCCCATCGCCGCCTTTCCCGGGCAAGTTTTTTATGTCACAAAAATTCACTCATTTCACCTCCCGTCCGTGCTTCACTCCCTTTCCCCCTTTTCCCTTTCTTCCCCCGCTTCCCCCTCCCCCTCCCCCTTCCTTCCTCACCAGTCGAAGCGTGATGCAGCAGTGGCAGCATTCCGCAAGGCGGAGCGGGGCCTCGACATTCCCGCCGTGCACTGCATCCTGCTGCTCACACGCCTGTCTTTCCCCCGCACCTTCACCAATTTCAACCCCTCCCCTCCGTGCCCCACTCCCCTTCTCCCTTCTTCCCCCTCTCCCTCTCCCCTCCCTATTCCCCTCCCCCACTCCTTCCCCACCAGTCAAAGCGCGATGCAGCAGTGGCGGCATTCCGCAAGGCGGAGCGGGGAGTGCTCATCTGCACGGATGTGGCAGCCAGGGGCCTCGACATTCCCGCCGTGCACTGCATCCTGCAGTACGACCCCCCCCAGGACCCCCGCGCGTTCGTGCACCGCGCAGGCCGCACGGCACGCATGGGCCGAGAGGGGTCTGCCCTCGTGTGGCTGCTGCCTAAGGTACGGGGTGGGACGGGACGGGCCTCGACATTCCCGGGGTGCACTGCATTCTGCAGTTCAACCCCCCTCAGGTCCCCCGCGCGTTCGTGCACCGCGCGGGGGCGCACGGCACGCATGGGCCGAGAGGGGTCCGCACTTGTGTGGCTGCTGCCAAAGGTAAGGGGTGGGGGGTGGCCCGGGTGGGGACAGGGCATTCCCGGCGTGCACTGCATTCTGCAGTGCAGTTCGAGCCCCCTCAGGGCCCCCGCGCCTTTGTGCACCGTGCGGGGCATACGGCACGCATGGGCTGAGAGGGGTCTGCTCTCGTGTGGCTGCTGCCAAAGGTGGGGGGAAGGAAGGGGGGGAGAGAGGATGAAAGGGGGGGAGAACCAAGGGGAGGGGGTGGTAAGATGGGGAAGAGAGAAAGGGGGAATAGAGGAGGGGGTTTGAGAGGAGGACAGATGAAGGTGGGGAGGAAAAGAGGGGGGGAGAGAGGGAGAGGGGATGCTTACTCGGAGTATCTCCCGCCTGCAAGAAAAACGTGGGAATACCTTTGAGGCACTGAAAGAATAAAAAGCATTCCTTCCGACATGCCCGCCCTGCGAGGAGGATGCATACCCGGAGTCTAGTTTTGAGGCGGGCCTCAAAACTATACCCGGAGTATTATATCACAAGACAGCAGAAGGGTGGGCAAGGAAGACCAGCAAGGGAGCCTTTTTGAATAAGCCAGCGTGTTTGCCCTTACCCCATGCCCTCCCTGCCAGGAGGATGCATACCCGGAGTATCTGCGGTTGCAAGGAGTGCCTGTGGTGGTGGAACCCCCTGCTCCCGATGCTGTCGACGTCATTCCACAGGTGAGTCCTTTGGCTTTTATCTTTTGCGCCGCCTGGAGAAAGCGTGCCTGGAGAAAGCACGCCTGGAGAAAGCAAAACAATAGATTCCGGGTTCATGCGATACCACAGGCTGTTCTGGATTCTGCAACCCTTGCGAAACCATCCGGCGTTTATTGCCTTCTGATTTATTTTACCCTAGGGGGATGGTACACGCTTCTTTCCGTTTGTGTTCATCTCTGCGTGGTCAGGATTGTTCATGAAGGAGGAAGGGGGGGGATGGGGGAGGTGGGATTGATACGTCTGACTCTGAATTGTAATCGCCATTACGCTGTGCTAGTGGGTACTTATTACTATTTTAACGTTTGTGGGTCCGTGCCATGATGCTCATGCTTTTTGGGCGTGTGCGTGTATGCGTGGCAGCTGAGGGAAGCATCGCGGAAGGATCGAGCAGTGGTGGAGAAGGGTGTGCGGGCGTTTGTGTCGTTTGTGAGGGGCTACAAGGAGCACCACTGCAACTACATCTTCAGGTACCCCTTCTCTTGCCTTGCACTCATGCCCCTCTTCCCATTCCCCCCTCCTTCTCCTCCACCCTCTTCCTCTCACCCTCTTGCCCCCTTCCCTCCTCTAAATAAACCATGCCACGCCTCTGCTGCGACTCCCTCCCTTGATCTCAATCCCACTCGCGCCCGCTCGCTGACTTTTCCCTTGCAGCCTCTCATTATTGGCACTTTTGGACCATGTGAAGAACGCCCACCCGCACAATGCGAGCACTGACCCCGCCTTCCTTCAACCCCCACTTTTCGTCCCCTTCCCTCTCTCCGCAACACCCCCCCCCCCTTCCCCCAAACACCTCCTTCCCTCTTCCACTCCCTCCCCCTCCCAGGTTTCGACAGCAGGAGATGGGGGCAGTGTACATACCATACGGTCTTTTCAAGATCCACCACATGCCGGAAACCACATATGAGACGCCTCGTAAATTACCTCCCTCCATCCTCAACCTGCCGCCCCTTTCCCCTGCCACTCCCATGCTGCCCCTCAGGTTTCAAGAGCTGGAGATGGGTGCAGTGGCCATGTCGTACGGTGTTCTCAAGATCCCTCGCATGCCGGAAACCCGCCACCATCCGCGCCTCTTTGACGGGTTCGAGCCCGACAAGACTGTCGATGTGGCCACGCTCAAATACAAGTGAGTCCGATTCAGTCACTCGATCAAAACGAGTTGGTTATTTTTGAAGGTATTGATCGAATTCACGGATGGCATGGCATGACAGGGAGCAATCTGACAGCCAGCCACCATCCGCGCCTCTTTGATGGCTTTGAGCCCGACAAGACTGTCGATGTGGCAACACCCAAAGACAAGTCATTCTGTGCAGTTCCAGGGGGTTGTTTCAGTGTACGACAGGCATAACAGGTATACCAGATTATAGCTTGCATCGTATCGTACCATAGTAGCTATGCATGAATTTGAGTAGTGCTCGCAACATAAATCAGGACCAGGTCCTTTGTTAGAGAGAGATTGTCAAATTTTTTCCACTTTCTTTACACGCACACACTTCCCCCTTTCTCCACACCTCTTGTCTCCTCACCAATATGGCATGGGAGTGTTTCGACCCATGCGCAAGTGCAGTTCCTTTTCTCCCCTTTTTTCGCCATTTTGAGGCGCCTCAGACATTCTCCTCCCCTCCTGACTGGCCGTGCAGGGATAAGAACCGGGAGAAGCAGCGACAGCAGTTTCTGAAGCAGCAGCAGGAAGGTCTCGAGAACCCTCAAAACGGAGAGAAGCCTAAGTCGGGAAGGCAGCAGCGGCAGCAGCAGCGCAAGGATCAAGCTGCCAAGGGTAACACTCTACGGGTTGATGTGGCTGCTCTGAAATCTGTTGGGGCGCGAGCAGTAAGAAGAGCGCGGGAGGAGGATGAGGAGGATGAGATGAATCGTGAGTATAAAGAGCTGATGAACATGAGGAAGCGGAAGAAGGGGAAGAAGCGGCCAGCACTGCCAGATCAAGACGATGACCTTGACAGTCTTGATGGTGACCTGCCTAATCAATCTGTTGATGGATTGGATGAGCGGTTAGGGAGCCAAGATGCAGGAGATGGCGGGCAGGGGGATCAGAAGGTGGATTCTGTGCTTGGAGTCCCAAATACTACTGCTGCAGCAGGTGGCGCTTCTGTTGGTGGTGTAACTGCTGCTGCGGTTGCTTCTGAAATGGATGCTGGAGATGGCAACGATACGCACTTGAAGGGGGATTTGAATGCAAGTAAACAAGGTGCTGCGGCTGTGAATACAGACATCAGGAAACTGGGTGCCGCGAGAAGAGGGAAAGGTCAAGCTGTTGCAGCATTGAAGCAAAAGGGAAGCAGCGGTACCACGACGAAGCAGATCGGAAGTGCACGACATGCTGCGTGGATGCTGTTGCGCAGGAAGAAACGAGTGGCAGCAGCAAAGAGTAGGGCCAAGGAGGCTAGGCATCCGGACACTGGCTGAAGCAGCTTGTTTTCTTTCTGTAATTGGATCGTAGCAATAATAGTTGTTCATCTAATAGTGCACTCTTTGAAGGAAGGTAGCAATGGAGGTGCTTTGCAGGCAATATTTCTTCACCATTGCTGTGGGATGGGTGTCAAGGTATCGTACTCAAACAAATTCACACATCACAATGTTTACAGGTCAGAAGTATACCGTAATTCTGAGCCTCCCCCAACCTAATCGGTGTCTTCATCTCAGGTTGAGGCATTACCATGTCTGCCTGCGTTGCTCGGTACCCAACAGTTAGGTTCATGCGTAGTAATCAGTCAAGGCCTCATCAGAGGTCACTGCTTAATATTAGCTCTAACTAACGGCTTTCTTTTGTGTCAAAATGTCAGGAAAAAACCATGAGTCAAACCTGTAGGCCAAAATAAAGCATGATCAGAAATGAATACAAGCAATCTATCCTATCTCCTGGTGAACTGGAACTTGGCGATCTCGGCCTGCAGCTGTGCAAGGCTGGACATTTTCTCCGCAACGATTCTCCCTGTCTCCAGAAGGTACCCATCGAAGCTTCCCTCTCCCGCCCTGATTTGATCAAGCAACTTCGTTTCCTGTCCAGACAGGCTCAACCATCAGTCACAGCACTTGACAATAATATAGGCACGAAATAGTAACATGAATCAGCAAGATCTTACCCGTTGTTCCAGAGTTGAGTATTGCTTGACGAGCTTCTCATGGAGGGAAATGATACGGGCCACCTCCTGTGAGACATTCAAGGACAAGATTAGCTTAATATTTCCAGGGGACATTCAAAGCGGCGACAAGTTGGACTTGACACAGCCGAAGAACTTACGGGGGATGGCTGGTGTTTGGCAGCAGGTAGATCAGGTGCAGACACTTCAATGAGCTCACTTGACGACTCCGACGCCTCTGATACTTCCTGTCTCTGCAACCTTCCAGCAGTTTTTGCCTTCCTTGGAGGCTGCTTCCTGCGCACTAATGGCTCAGCCTTATTGCTCGCATCTTCCTCTGAAGAATTGTCACTTGCTGCAGAAGGTCTGCTGCTTGCAGAAGTATCAATTGTTTTTGCAGCCAGAACTGAGCTCGTTTGAAGCTCATCAGCGGCCTGGCCAGCCGCTGCTGTTTTATCAGCCACAACTGGTGCAGATGGAATGGATGTGGTTCGGCGCAGGAGTCTCGAGTTGTTTCCTTCCTTCACTGGCGCAGCAGCAACCGGGCCTGCTGAAGCACCAGAGGCACCAGCAGAAGCCCTGGATGAGGACCCTGCAGACCAGCCTAAGGTTGAGCGGAAGGGCCTGGTGGATGGAACAGATGATTTTGTGAAGCTGGAGAGGAAAGTTGACTCGCTCGCACCTAGCATGTTAGGGTCCTTGCCAGGTTGCACAGGGTCAGAGATCTCCATGGGTGAATCTGATGGAATGCACGATCGCTCGACCTCCCCACAAAGGCTATCCATCGAGCTTACGCCTTCTTCCAGGTCCGCAAGCAGGGTTCCAACAACTTCAGCACTGTCATTGTCCAGCTCCATGTCATCCACAATCTCTTCAACTAGCTTGCTGGCATTCTTCTCCTTGAAGATCCCTCCATCCACTGCAGACTGCCGGCCTCCAATACTGAAACGACCAGGGTCAGAGGCAGATGCAACCCTCGGGATGCTTTCATATCTCGGGCGCTTCTCAGTTGCTGAGCTCGTCTCTTCACCAAATGGCTCAGGAAAGTAGACTGGAGCTGGCTGTTGCACCCTGCCAGTGGTTGTTGAGCTCTTAGATGCAACCATGGTACTGGGAATGCTGGAGCCACCAGTATCCTTCTTGTTGCCCTTTGAAAGGCTCTTAACCCTGAAGGCGGAAAAGTGGATAGTAGTTAGTTTAGGACACTAGGAAAAAAGTTGTAACGATGTGGCATAGTTATGATACTCACCGGTCAGCATAGCGCAGAGTGTTCAGTGTGTGCTCGACTGAAGCCGATCCTGGAGAAATGCATGATACCATCACTGTTCGGGAGTTGCCCACAAAGGAGTCACGCAGCACTTCGGTCAGCTTGCTACCACGGAACGGAATGTGGTTTTGCTCCATGTCAAGTGCACGGATGCACTCCTTCAAAGCCAGAAGGCTTTTGTTGATCTCTGCTCCTTCCATCCTGACCACACAGTGTCCAAGTACATCGCCTAGTTAAAAAACACCCTTTTGATTACATCCAAAACCGCCAGCGAGAGAACTTCTCGAGGAAGCTTACCTGGTCTGCTTATCATTATCCGTAGTGTCAGCGCCTCTTTCACTGCCCGCGAGGTCGATAAAAGAGAACTTGCCCACGAGTTTTCCCATGGAGTCCTTCTCGTCCGCGCCCCCAAGCGACCTCCTGGCTCGTCGCGCCTGCGTCTTGTCAGGCTGAATTTTCTGCCTGATAACCATCTGGAGGATGGCGTGACTTCGCGACGACTCTTCGTTTGCACCGGTCGTGCCAGTGCTTCGTGCGGAGCTTCCCCTCGAAATTAGCTCGTAAACGGTGTCAACAGATACGACATTGACCTCCTTCAAGCCGACAATGCACACTTGCTGCCTCCCATCCTCGCGCATTTGTAGCTTCCTGCATTACACACAAAAATGATGCTTGGATGAGACAGCTTGACACGCTGTTCCAGCGAAGATGCTGATTATTATCAATTTCACTCTATCAAGATCAGGGAACTTACGCTCGGTCATTGAGCAAGTCGAAGAGCTTGCCACCATAGATCTCGAAAAAGCTTATCCACAGATGGAAGTGGGAATCTTTGTTGCGTTCCAGGTTGATGATGTTTAGCATATCCTGTGCTGCCCTCAGTGGCAGAGGCTGCATCGTGTAGGTCTTACCACTCCCTGCAAGCAACGAGTGCAGACACAACGAGAAACGGTGTCAGGCCTGTAGCACAAGAAAACCCGATAGCTCCTTCTGAAAGTGTTGAGTGTGTACCTGTCTGACCATATGCGAAGCAAGTCGCTTTGGTTCGCATGAATATCGTAGGAACGATGGGCTCTACGGTTTCGCGATACACCTGCACATGACTTGCACTCCACTTAGATCCGTAAATTACATGAAGCCAACAATACTTCCAGTGTGAGCTTGCCAGCTACACGAACCTCGTCGTTGGTTACTGTTTCATCCAGCACAGCGTCGAAGACAAACTTGTGTGTTTCTTCGTAAGCCGTCAAGTCAACCTGATGATGTTCGGGAGGCACGTCATTAAGTCCAAGGCCCTCACGACAAGACAGAAAAAATGGATTGAATTTCGTCATATACGAGACCCCACCTTCACTTTTGGCTCGCGAACGGTTAGGGTCCTTGGTTCCTCAATATAAATAACGTCGTACTCCTTCCGCAAACGCTCCTTTTTGTTGATGGGTCGCTTCCGAACCTGCAACCAGAGATGAGCAAGCCATGCGTGAGAAATGATCTTGAGGAGAAGGATAGGAGCTGCATAGAAGCGGGATGACTCACCACAACTTTGATGCGAGCTGGATTCGAGACCCGCGGAGCTGTCTCCACGACCGCATCAAGGCCGGGGATTTTGGGAAGCGACGATGCCAGGTTCTGAGGAGGGTGTGAGGAAAACTTCTCTGGGGAGGCAGGGACTGATACGCTGTGGAGCGTAAACGCTCGCTCAGGTCTGACTGGCGATGTTGCCCGGCTAGAGACTGCACTTTGCGGTGCAGTGAGACGTGGAGCCTTTGGCGGCTCAGTTTCGATAGGTTCGTCAAGACCCTGCGGCATAAGGAAATTCTGCGATTAGAGTCCAACCATTATGCCATTCATTTTAGAGACAGCACGTCGACACTCACATCAGTTAGCAGTTCAACATCGTCCATCCCTTGAATGTCGATAATCTTGGTGCACTTGGCAGCTGCGGCGATTGACGGCCTTTGAGGAGCTGCAGGTTTAGTATCCTGCTGGCTCTCGCGGTTCCTTCCCATGCTCGAGCGGACATCATCGCTAGAATTGAGCTGCTTAATCAGTTGGAAGAGCTTTCGCTTGTCTTCGAACTTGGAAACGCCACACTTCTCGTAGTCCTGACGACAAGATTCGAAGGAATGCCAATAGCTGTCAGAATGCTACTTAAAATGCTTGTTTTAACTGATTTTAGTTGCTATAACGGCTTCACAAGAAGTTACCTGCATGAGGAGCTTACGGAAGCCGTCTCCTCCAATGCCAAGAGCAACAAACTGGCTAGCATACTTTCCTAAGCCACTATCCTCTAACCATCTGACAACCTGCTCCCCATTCGACGACGCAGTAGCCATGACGTATGATTTACGACAGCAATGTTACAGGATTAATCTAATAGCTTCTTCTTTACATCGCTTTCCTGGCAAAAAATACGTCAAGGCAACCCTGGCGGCGAAGCTACCACTGGAGTTCAGAGAAGCACAGACGAGCCCGTACAAGATTTGGGATTGGGGATGAAACTAGGCGAAGGAAGAATGGATCACTTCACTGCTAACCATAGTGTTGGGTGAGGAGTGGTGCAAGTAGGTTAGGCCAAAGGAAGGGGCACAGACAGGTCCATCCCATGGCACCAATCGATGGAGTGAAGGGAAGGCAAGGAGACTTGAGGAGCTCGGAAACGGGCGAGAGTACCAGCGGAGCCAGCGGAACGAGGCTTGGCAAATGTGACAAGCGGAACCAGGGAAGGGCGGAAACGCAAAATACAGTGGGGGAGGAAAGTGGCGGTGGCGAAGCTTGCGCGGCCATCACCTCCCCCTGTTTCGCGCCTTGACATTGCAATTCCGAGGCGACTCGCATTGCATTCGGTGTTCAATTCCTGACACCGCGAATCAAGCATCTTCCCACGCCTGTCAGGTTGTGCCGTCGCCCCGCGAACGGCTGGGATGTAGGGATCCTTCAGCCTTTCGTTACGACAGGCGAAAGCGACAGGCAGTCTCCATGGCGAAAGGATCCTATGTGTGTATTGTCCATTCACCATCGTGACCGTCCATTGAGCAACGGCTCTACCGATCGATTGTGTCGCCTATAGAGTGATCTTTTGAATGTTCGCCTATCGTCTTCAACAGTAAAGCACGGAGCACACGTTCACACATAGTGTGTGAATTGTTCTTTACAACCAAACAAAGTAATTATAAATTATCAGGACGATGAAAATATTATATACAGAATGCTCGTCGGGTTTTGAAGAGAAAATACATGGTAGGTCTCTCCTTCCCCTCATCCCCACCCCACAATCCCTCCCCCACCCCCCCTCCCCCCCTGCATTTTTAAGGGATGACATGAATAAACCTCCCAACCCAATACTATTCCGGCAAAGACGGTAATGCAACATTTTATCAATAAAAAATAGAATATATTTCAAGGAGAAACAGCTTAGTCAGTTCAAAGTAAGGCGTAACCTTGAGGCGAAGTGAGTGATATGTGTTCTTCACCTTATAGCAGTTGTGAATCTTCATGTAAGGAACTAATTTCTGTGAATCAAGTACCGTATGTTATCGGTCTCTGCACCTGAACTCAATCCCAACCAAACCACAGCCTTAGAAATCTTGCACCACCACCACGCTCAATGAGCCATTTCCCGATAGCTCCAGCGTTCTAGATCCTGTTCTAAGTTTAGTATTCTTCGTTTCGGAGCGTGTGCCCTAACCTCAGCGGGGATATTGTTTTCGTAGAGCTCTGAATCAGGCTCAACCGTAGAAGCCCGGCGCGGGTGTCTCCGGATCTGGTTATCAATCTCTTTCGCTCGCTTTGCCTGATTCTGGATCGTAGGAATTCCAAAGGAACGAGGGGAACGAGAAGCGAGTAAACATGGGGCAGGGTCAGTCTGGGCTGCCTGGAAAGGGCATGCCGGGCGATGGCAAGGACGACCGGAAGGAAAAGAAGAAGTATGAGCCTGCTGCTCCTCCATCGCGTGTCGGCCGGAAGCAGCGGAAGGCTAAAGGACCCGAAGCAGCGGCTCGTTTGCCGGTCGTAACTCCGGCTACGAAGTGCAAGTTGCGTCTGCTGAAGCTGGAGCGCGTTAAGGATTACCTTCTTATGGAGGAAGAGTACGTGACGAATCAGGAGCGGCTGAAGCCGCAGGAGGAGAAGAACGAGGAGGATCGGTCCAAGGTGGACGATCTTCGCGGAACTCCCATGAGCGTGGGAAGTCTTGAAGAAATTATCGACGAGAATCACGCCATCGTGTCGTCATCTGTAGGCCCGGAGTATTACGTCAGCATCCTGTCGTTTGTGGATAAGGATCAATTGGAGCCTGGCTGCTCTATCCTCATGCACAATAAGGTGCGTCTTCTCGGCTAACTACTGCCCACATGGAATTCCCATCAAGGATTAGCTTCGACAATCACGGATCTAGAAATTACGTTCATCGGTCCCTCCTATTTGCTCTCTTCGGCCTTCAACTACCCGTGCCGGATTCGTGGAGGTTTTTGCGCCGGATTTCTCGCACTCCGTTCTATCCGTAACTTCTGTGATTCTCCTTCCTTCCCCGTCGTCTCCCGTGCTGCCTCCGTATCTCGTCCAATCCCTGAATTCCCTGCAGGTGCTGTCAGTGGTGGGCATCCTACAGGACGAGGTGGACCCCATGGTATCCGTGATGAAAGTGGAGAAAGCTCCCCTGGAGTCCTACGCCGATGTCGGTGGGCTGGAGCAGCAGATTCAGGAGATCAAGGAAGCGGTGGAGCTTCCTCTGACACATCCGGAGCTTTACGAAGACATTGGTATCAAGCCTCCCAAGGGAGTCATTCTCTACGGTGAACCAGGCACTGGCAAGACCCTGCTGGCGAAGGTGCGTCTTTTGCAGTGTGGCAGAGAATGACCTAGGGTTGAAGTTGGACCACCTCCTTTTAACCCGTTTCCCGAGTTGCTCCTTGTTCCAATTTGACGCTGTTCTGTTCTTGCCTCATCGCGCGCTCGCCTTCCATTCCCTACCCACCTTTTACAGGCTGTCGCCAACTCCACGTCAGCCACCTTCCTCCGCGTGGTAGGCAGTGAGCTCATCCAGAAGTACCTGGGCGATGGACCCAAGCTCGTGAGGGAGCTGTTCCGAGTGGCGGATGACCTTTCGCCCTCCATTGTCTTCATTGATGAGATTGATGCTGTGGGAACCAAACGGTGAGTGTCTCTTGCATTCTATGTTCCCTCTTTTGGCTTTTCTATGTCTCGATTGAACCACTAACTTTGACCTTGTGCTAACTGGAAGCGTTTCCATTTTTCTTGCTTCGATGAACAGTTACGACGCTCATTCGGGAGGTGAGCGGGAGATTCAGCGGACGATGCTTGAGCTGCTGAATCAGCTGGATGGCTTCGATTCTCGTGGAGATGTCAAGGTCATTCTAGCCACCAACCGCATCGACAGTCTTGACCCTGCGCTGCTGCGTCCGGGTCGTATTGACCGCAAGATCGAGTTCCCTCTGCCTGACATCAAGACCAAGCGCCGCATTTTCCAGGTGAGAGAGCTCTATATTTGAAGGGAAAATGATGTTGGAAGCAGGAGTGCTGCTGTTGGGAAGTTTCAGATACGTACTGGTCGTGTATGGCTCAATTATCACTTTTGCTGATGTAAGAGCTGTATGGTGGTTTGCAGATCCACACATCTCGCATGACAACAGCTGAGGATGTGAACTTGGAGGAGTTTGTACTTAGCAAGGATGAGCTTTCGGGTGCTGACATCAAGGCAATGTGCACAGAGGCTGGGCTGCTTGCTCTTCGCGAAAGACGCATGAAGGTATGTGAATTATGTTGAGGGTTTTGAAGTGGTTGATTGTTGTGATGATGGCTGCTTCCTGTGGTGTTGGTGTTAAAGGCTGGTTTGTGTTTTTTCTTTGTTTGCAATCTGAGTGTGTGTGCCTGTGTGTGTGTGGGGGGGGGAGGGGGTGGGGGGGTGGGTGGGTGGTTGGGTGGGTGTGGGTGTGTGTGGGTGGGTGGGTGTGGGTGTGTGTGGGTGTGTGCGTGTGTGGGCGTGTGTGTGTGTGGGTGTGTGTGTGTGTGTGTGTTTCAGGTGACACAAGCTGATTTCCGGAAGGCTAAGGAGAAGGTGTTATACAAGAAGAAAGAAGGTGTTCCTGAGGGTCTTTACATGTAAAGAGTCTGAATCAATGCGTCATGCTTGTGTTTCATGTTCATGTCATTCTGTGTGGTACGAAGGCTTTTAACATCTTTGCAAATAACGTTCACCAAGGTTTAGAGATGCGTACTTCTTCACATTGAGTTGACATTTCTCGGTGTATACATGGTCGGGTAAGACAGGCGTGAACATCAGAGCGTTCTTACCCTGGGTCCACACTTCGCAACAAGTTTCCTCAGAGGTTAGAGCCCCTCCCTAACCCGCTGCACCGATTGCGGTTGGCCAATGACACGGGCCATGGGTATGGCTATGGCAATGGGTAGAGTACTACACGTAATATGAGTTCGTGTCCGTAGGCTTGACATGTCAAGTGAGGGCGTGTCAACCCGAAGCGCATTCAAATTAGCGTGTCAAACATTGTAGCTGAAGTGTCAAGTCGAAGCGCATGTACGAACATCAGCGACGGAATTTCATTGGTTTGAGAATTTGTCATGGGTGGATCTGCCAGGTAGCGAACAATTCAAAAGACAGATTGATTGGGCAGCATCTGGTCGTGAGATAGGCACCTGCGACCATCTTCTCTCGTTTGTAGGTTTGACTGTGCCAATTTAGAAAGTGTCCGACGATTTGTATTGGATGGCAACATGCAATTTCTTGACACCCTGCCAACAATGTTGGCTGAGTGTCAAAATGCCAAATTGACACTGCCCGCTTTGACATGTCATCCCTACGGACACGACCTGAAGTCGGAAAGATTCGGGCTGGAAATTCGTTGGGTGGATTTTTTTAGTTGCCAAGTGAATACATAATTCCACAATTCAAATTAGTGTAAAATAGTTCGGCTGTGAGTGACGTTGAGCCTGAAGACCGACAACACCGACAGGTCAAGAAGCCCAGCCGTACGACTAAGAGCCACACAATGCAAGGGTCGGGACGGGCCCTTAGTATAGCCTGAGCCTCGGAAACTAACTTTCTGATGCAGAATAACCCTGATTGTAAACCTTCCCGTGCAAGCTCTACTGTTTACAAAGCACCATCCCCACCACCGTCTGTCATCATCCCCTCTTTCCACCCCTTTCCCCCACCTTGAATGTCGTTCTTTTGTCTCTAGCTTGCTCCTTCCCTGTGCCATCTCGAACACAGTAACCATTCGTGTGTTTCACTGTGCCATCAGGCCACCGCTCCTCGACCTCCATTGCACAAACCAAAGGGAGGACGTGTGCGTTGCGTAGCTTCAAGGGTTCCTAGCGTGTCGCGCGACTGACCCACGTCGCCGTGATTTATTTATGCGGCTCGCCACGGTGTCTTTCACTTATTTCTCTCAGAGTACCGGCTTCGCAGTTCTGGAGTTTTACATGATGGAGTCGCCTACAATTTTAGCCGATTAACTCACGTGCACCCCCTGTAGTCCGCCCTCAGTAAACGCCAAGACAGCGGTATCCTTGCGAGCGCGTACTATGGCCGCGGAAGCACTTACGAGAACATCGCACAGTCAGCCATGGTTACATTTCCCTTCTCCGTGCTCCCGCCATGGCCTGTGCCTCCGCCTCTGCGTGACCTCTCTCCTCCTTTTCTTACTCTCCCCACTTCCGCGAGCGCATGTAACGGTATCAGAAGAGGGTGCTACGCCACGCAGCGCTTCAGGAAGTCATGGAGCCTCCACGTTACATTCCCCTCTGCTACCGTCGTTCCCGCCGAATGAGCTTCCAGCATTCTCGCGTCCAGCGAAAGCCGACGAGCTTCCGGCTCATCCGCAATGGCAGGGGTTAGAAGAGCTATATTCACACGACAGTAGCATTGCTCGCGATAGCACCACCGTCAGCGGTAACAGCTTTAGCAGCGGTAGCAGCGGCGGCGACAGCGGAGGCGGAGATAGGAGCGATACTGACGCGTTACTCGTTAACGAAGGACTGACTGAAGGCACTGGCGTTCAAGAAGGTCTCGAGCGGACTCAATACGGAGATGTAGATGCTCTTAAAAGCACCATAAATACTCCGTTACAAAATCCCTCTCGAAACGTTCGATCGTTAATGGAAGCCGAGGCGACGTCCGTCCCGGATGTGTCTGCCGTGTATGCCGCCGCAATGGGCGCCGCGGCCGCCGCTACGCGCGGAAAGCGGAAAGAGGCTCCCGTGATAGGATGCTTGCTGAGCCTAGGAACTCCGTCGGGGCTTCTCATTGCCTCAGGTACGATTCTGCTGAGCTTCTCACCTCCTCTATTCGCGTAACTTTCTTATTTATTGGTTTGCTTCTCGCCCAGTCGACATGCCTGACGTTTCTCACGGCGTCAGTGCGATTGTGCTGATGCTCTCCGTCCCTTTGTCGAACTGAAATCCCTGATTGGGCGCGGTAGTCGTGTGGCTGACTTTGATGCTTATAGGGTTTGCCTCACTTTCTCTCTTCTCTCGTCTCTCTTTTCTCGTCTCTTCGCGCTTCTCCATTTCCAGCGAATGATTTGAACGTTCTCTGCGGCATCGGGGCCAACTTTATGAAAAGTCTTATTGCCCGTTGCCGGGAAAAATACCCCTTCCGTATCTCCGTTCTAACATCGGAAACCAGGTGGCATTCTCCTTTCTAGAGCAGTCGCTTCTCGCTCGCCCTTCATGCATCACCATCAGTCGCTCGCTCTCTAGTTTGCCGTCACCCTCTCATCTCTCCCATTCTCCCGTTCTCCACCCGTCTGCAGCAGCAGAGAAGAGAAGAGAAGACGGCGAGGAAGACGCAGGCGGCGACCGCTGTGTTGCAGATGGCCAAAAATCCAATGTTTACTCGTTCAACGTCACTGTTTTAACCCCTCCCAATCCCACTCGCTTCCCCTCCCCGATCCTCCTTTTCTCTCCGCTCGCTCCGTGCTGCAGCGATTGAGCGGGCGGTGAGGGAGGTGGAGGCAGCAACGCGTGTGCGGATAGTGCTGCGCATGGCCAATGCCAGTGACTCTGACCCTTTCCAGGCCGAGGCTGCAGGTGGGACTGCTGCTGGCCCTTGGGATTGTAGTGATGCCTTGAAATTCTCGTCGATTGCTCCTTGGAATTGGTCGCTTTGGAATATCATCTGTCAGAAATTATCTTGCTGCTGGGTGAACTGATCGCCTTGGGTTGGGTTTGTGACTTGAACCCTGCCTGCCTGCCTGTGTCGCTTGTCTCTCTCTGCTGCAGCCTTGCAGCTGCTGCTGACGTCACCGCAGCCACATGTGCTGCTAGGACCGCCCACGTCTCTCCAGGCGTCCATTGTGGGACCCATCGCCTCTGCTGTCCAGGTGCGGTCTGCTGCTCAGGTGCATATCTTCTTCAGATGCCTCCAACAAGGCAGCCTATCTACTCATGGGCACCCCAGCCCAGCTGGGCATGTATGTGCCTATGTGCATGCCGCTTTTCCACCTTGTTTACAATCACGCGCTCAGATTCTTCCAGCATAAAGTGGTTTCGCTTCTTGCGTTGGTTGGACCATTGGACGTCGGACGGGAGAGTTATCCATGTCTCTCTTGCCTTCTCTGCTCGCCCGGCGCTGCAGGTGCCTCTGCTGTCGTACGCGGCATCGGACCCGCTGCTGAACGCGAATGCGCAGCTGCCATACTTTGTGCGCATGCACTATGACGACCAGGCGCAGATGACCGCTGTCTCAGGTGGGTCAGCCAGCCAATCAGTCAGCCAGTGAGCCTCAGGTGGTGGTGGGCCTATGTCTCGAGCAAAGCTGCCTGCCTGCATTTGCGAGCTTGTTGTGCAAATTGCAATGTGTGAAGGGTGCTTTAACGTGTGCGCACAGCACCTGACAGCAGCGAGCAACGGAAGTCGCTTCAGAGAGTGCTGTTTCCGTGGCAGGCAGTGCTGCTGCTATTGCGGTCTCTTCTTAGCTCATCATATAAGGTCATGCCGATTGCTATCGTGCTGTTTTGTATGGTCACATGTGTTAGTGCTGGTACCTGCGCTTGTATATACCATGTGCCTGCGCTTATTCCGCCGCTCATGCAGACATAATATCATATTACAACTGGACGCAAGTGGTGGCGTTGTTCGAGAGCACCGACAGTGCATGGAACGGTTTCCAGACTCTTACACGCCTGCTGCAACAACAGGTGAGTGCGTGCATGCTGTGCTGTGCAAATTTCAAACCTCACCGATTTCACAGGGTTGGCTAGTGCCATTGTTGGGGGCTATCCCTGCCGCATTTCCTGCAAGTCACTGCTTCCTCCCTCTGCGTGTCCATCTACGCGTTCTCTCCCCACCCTCCTCCCCGCATTTCCAGGGCACGGCACGAGTGGTGGCGTCGTGGCAGTTTGACAGCGGCGTGAGCAACGTGGAGGACGTGATGAAGGCGCTGCTGCAGGTGCGGTCGGTGGAGGCGTCTGTCTTCGTGCTGCACCTGCAGAACGAACCCACCATCCGCCTCCTGCTCAAGACCGGTGAGTGCGGTGCAGCAACAGATTAGGAGAGGAAGCCAGGAGTTTTCCTGAGAGTGGAGCGGGTGGTTGGGAGGGAGGGAGGCAGGGCAAGTTGAGGTTGAGGGTAGGGCAGGTGAATACTCGGGCGGGTGGGAGGTGGAGCAGGTGCGGTCGGTGAGAGAGAGCCTCCCCCCCCCCCCCACCCTCCTCCCCATTCCCCCTCCCTCCCCCCCCCCTTCCCTCGCCCTGTCCTGTCCTTCTCCCCTCCCGCACTCCCCCTCCCTTTGTTCCTCCCCTCCTCCCCTGGGCAGCGTCACAGCTGGGGCTGTTCACGGAGGGGTATGTGTGGATAGCGACGGCGGGCGTGATGTCTCTGCTGGCTGCTGAGCCGCGCCTCTCCAGTACCCAGGCCTCCTGCGAGGTGGATTCTGGGGCCATGGGGTGTGGGACATGGGGCAGGGGGATGGGGCAGGGGGATGGGGCAGGGGGATGGGGCAGGGGGATGGGGGATGGGGGATGGGAGATGGGGTATGGGGCATGGGGCATGGGGCATGGGGCATGGGGCATGGGGCATGGGGCATGGGGCATGGGGCATGGGGCATGGGGCATGGGGCATGGGGCATGGGGCATGGGGCATGGGGCATGGGGCATGGCACGCCAGAACAATTCGCACGTCTCCTCTGCATTGCTTCTGTCATCTCCAATCTCCCCGTTTCCTTTCCGGGTTTTTTTTAAACGTGAGCTTTTTTCCTCCATATTTACCTTTCCACCCCCCCTTCCCTTACACATTCCCCCGTCCTCCAATGCCTTCTTCTCCATCGTTTAACCTCCCCATTTACTGTCAGTGTCATACTCATGCACTTCACTCCCCACACTTCCCACTTCACCCAACCGTACCCCCGTTTTCCAATGTCTCCGCACTCACAGCGGCGTGTGGGTGGCAGGGCATGGTACTCATGCTGCGCTTTCATTTCACATGTGTTCTTTCTCGACACTGAAAAACGATAGACAGCGATTAACGCCTCCCTCTCTCCCGGCCGTGGTATGGGAGGCTTGCGTGTGGCTGGCGTGTGTGGCTGGCGTGTGTGGCTGGCGTGTGTGGCTGGTGTGTGTGCCTTGTGTGTGCCGTATGTGTGGCGTGTGCATAACAGGGCATGATAGGCACACTGCCCTTTGACGTGCCCACGCCGCATCGGGAGGAAACTGTCAAGGCCATCTCTGGCGTCGCCAAGCTCACTCCCTCCCTGCTGCTCGTAAGTGCACTACTTTTGAGACGCCTCAAAAGTCACATCGCGGCGACACTGTCAAGGCCGTCAATGGCGTCGCCAAATTCTCTCCCTCCCTGTTGCTCGTGAGTGCGCTATGCCTAGGTGACTCTGTCTGTCTGTCCCCTTCGCCCCGACTGTGCAAGAGAATAAGCTTTGCCATTCTTTCGTGTGCGAGCGTGCTCTTCACATGTCCAACCTGCCTTGCTCCCGCGTTCTGCCCCCGTCTCTCCCCCTCTCCCTCACAGAGCGAAGCAGAGGGGTACCGCCAGGCGCTGTACGCGTACGATGCAGTCAAGCTCTTTGCCGCTGCTCACCTCGACACGCTCCTCCACCCCCCCTCACCGCCCCCGCCCCCGTCACCTTCTCCCCCCTCCCAAGGCAACTCCTCCTCCCCTCCTGCTCCTCCTGCTCCGCCCGCCGTCGCTGGGGGGGGTGTCATTGAGGGCTTTCAGCAGCTGAAGATCCGGCAAGGTGGGTGGGTGCTTGACTTGACGCACTGCGATTTGTGACCAGTCTGGTCGATCCATGTGTTTCCAACCCAACAGCCTTCCATGCCACGTCCCTCAAGCGTAGCGTGCACATGGCATGGCATGCACACGTGGGTGTGGCACGTGCATGATGTCACAAGGGCATCGGAACAGCATTTACATTCCAGCGGCAGTGCACCTAAGTACCTCTTCCTGCATGGTGTGCCTGGCAATGGCATGCTGGGCAATGGTATGCGTGGCTATGGTATGCGTGGCTATGGCATGCTTGTTGCATGTATAACTTGCTGCAGGTGGTGATGCTCTTCTAGCATCCATCCTTTCAAGCAACATGAGCGGCGTCACAGGAGAGTGAGTCCAATTCCAACCTCACTACCACACCACCCTACCCCACGGAACCGCTCCCCATCCCGCCCCACCCTTCTTCAACCCACCTTCACCTTGCGGTGTCCGTTTCTATGCCGGGTTCGTGGCTTCTCTTCGTCCCCGTTTGGCCTCTCATCATCCTCTCATCTCGCTCCTACTCCTCTCTGGTTCCCCCTTTTAAAGTGATGCACCCCACTCTCCTGGCCGCCACTTTCCATTTGCTGCCTCCTAACCACCACTCCCCCATCCCCACTCCCACTTCCACTCCCATCCCCTCTCCCCCCTTCGCTCCCCCACTCCCGTGGTTACCACCTGCCCTCCTTCCGCCCTCCCCCTCTCTCCTCCTCCTCCTCCTCCCCGCCCTCATCAGAGTGTCGTTCACATCATCTGGCGACCTGCAGGAGCAGTTCTTCCGCATTGCCAACATCCAGTACGGCATCCGAACCATTGGCTTTTACCATTACCGAGCCAACACCACCAACACCACCGCTGCTACCACTCCCACCAACACCACCGCTTCTAACACCACCGCCGCTGCTGCTCCTGCTGCTCCCAGTGCCGCCTCTCCTGCCCCTGCTCCTGCTCCTGCTCCTGCTGGTGCAGCTGCAGCTCCCTCGCCTGGTGCTGCTGGGAACGCCAGTGCTTCAGCTGTTTCGCCCTCCTCCTCGCCCACACCTGCGTCCTCCAATAGCGCTGCATCTCCCGCTGCTGTTGTTGCCCAAGGCCTCGTGTCTATCGAACAGGTAAGCAACTTGCAACTTGTGGTGAAACGAACAGACGTGGTGAAACGAACAGAAAATAGCCATTCCTTTTATGCTCTCGTTCTTAGCTTTCTTTCCATCATTCCCTGTCCTGGCATTTTCTCTCTGTCGTTTCTTTCCTGTGATCTCATCTGTGCTGGTTATGCCTACAAAATCGCAGATGGCTCAAGTACTTGTTTCCAGGAAGCTCACAACCCAAGCAGCAGCGGTGCGTATTCTTGCTCCTCTTCTCCTTCCTCGCCCCCCCTTTTTGCACCCGAATCCCTTCTGTAACTCCTTGTTTACTCAGCCATGCTTGGAGCTAGCATGCAGTTTCGAAATCTTAGGCAAGTCTATCAGGATAATGTGGGGAGAATGTGGATGGAAGCAAGAGCAGTGGTAAGTGCAACAACATCAGATTTACATAATCCGCCCGTTACATATACTTTTAGCACCTTACCGCTATGTTTCCAAGTCATACTAACAGTATATCCCCTTTTCACCTTCTCCTCTTCTTTCGCTGGCTGATTGGGCGTCGGCGTCTCCTGCATGTGTCAGCTCGCAGCAGTGAAATCGAGCAGCACGCAAGCAGGGCAGGACGGGGCTGGAACGTCTGTGGGCGGTTCTTCTGGTGTGCTGCGAGACGTGGTGTGGCCGGGGGGGACCAAGACCGAGGTATGCACACACACACGCATGCATGCATGATTGCTTGGGTGCATGGGTGCATGATGGGTGCATTGTTCTAAAAAACCAGCACTGTCTTGCTTATGGCCCCGCCAGTCTTTGCATGTCTTGGCACGATATTGATCCCTTCTGTATCACCTCGCACTTGCCCCTTCCCTCCCTGACTCTCCCCCCCCCCCCCACTCACACAATTCCCCCTGTTCTCAACGTTTACATTGTCCCTACTCAACCCATCTTCCTTGGCCGCCCATTCCCCCCGCTTTACCCAACTACCCCCACAACCCACCCCCCGCACTCACCCCATTCCTGTAGGTGCCTGTCGGCTCGTTCCCAAAGAGCTCTGCACCACTGCAGATTGCAGTGCCAGTCAAACGGGTAAGCTCTTGTTTTTTCGGGGCGTCTCAGAAATTAAAGAGCTCTGCACTGCACCACTGCAGCACTGCAGATTGCAGCGCCTGTCAAGCGGGAGAGCCCATGTTCTTCTGTTTGGCTGGACGTCAAAGGCCGTCCCACAAACTCCCCTTCTCGTTGCTGTCTCTCTGCCCCATGCCCAATCCCCTTTTGACTTCTTGTCTTGGCACCCACAACCCACCCATAATGCTTAACCCACACCTGCGCCCCCCCTGCCCACACAACTCACCACCACCTCCATGCATCCACCATCGTCACCATCCACCACCACTGCCATTCTAATTCCATGGCCCACTAGGCCTACTCCCATATGTTCTCCTCATGGTCACGCAGTATCCAACCCTCCTTAAAGCCCATGGCTTGGCCCATCTCAAACCCTCAACTCTTGCCCTTCCACACCTCCACCACGCGCAACAACCCTGCGATCTTGACTCTCACAGCCACCACCAGGCCTACCACCAGTTTGTGTTCGTGAGCGACGGGCTGTCCAGCTCTCCCTCTCCTTCAAACCATATCTCCTTCTGCTCTCCCTCTCCTTCAAACCGTATCTCCTTCTGCTCTCCCTCTCCTTCAAACCGTATCTCCTTCTGCTCTCCCTCTCATGATTCCACGAGCCAAATCCTGACCCCCGCCCGCCACCACCAGGGCTACCACCAGTTTGTATTCGTGGGCGATGCGCTCTCCAACTCGTCGCGCTCCAACGAGAAGTTCTCCGGGTTCTGCATTGACGTCTTCAAGGCTGCCGTGGCACTGCTGCCGTACAACCTGCAGTACCAGTTCGTGGCGTTTGGGGACGGCCTCAGTGATCCTGATTACGACACCATGGTCGCTGCTGTCGCCAACAAGGTGCGTGCTGTGGCGGGATTGAGATGTGTGTGTGGGTGTGGGTGTGGGTGTGGGTGTGGGTGTGGGTGTGGGTGTGGGTGTGGGTGTGGGTGTGGGTGTGGGTGTGGGTGTGGGTGTGGCTGAACAGAAGAGTGAGTTGATTGTGGCCACATTTGAGAAATATCAAAAGCGGCTTAGGTAATGGTCCTCACTCAGTCCCAGGTTAGCAAGTTCACATCCCCTCTCTTTCCGAGGCTCCACAAAAATGTCTTCCACACTCATTTCCCGCTTGACACATTATTTACCCGTTTCAGTGTTTGTGTGCCACTGACCATTCCTGATAATGCCTTTTCTTTCGGCAAGCATTAGTTATCATTCACCCAAGCCATCATTCACTTCGTTTCTCCTAATCATCGCCTGATCGTCGTCTCCTTCCCACCTGGCCCTTTGCCCATTCATCCACCTGTGCCACCACCCCTGCTCGTTCCCCTGCTCCACTTCCCACCCGCCCCCTGCCCTCCTGTGTCCTCTGTCCACCTGTGTGTGTGCCCGCCATCAGACGTACGATGCAGCAGTGGGGGATATCACCATCACAGCACAGCGAGCGCAGCTAGTCGAGTTCACCCAGCCCTTCGAGGCAAGTGCTGCCCAGCCCTCCTGCTGCTGCGTGCCGCCCTCTCGCATATGCAGTCTCCGTTGCGCTGCTTCCTTAAGATAAGCTTTTCCCTGTGCCTTTCCTGTATTCGTTTGCTCCCACCTGCTCCCCCTGTTCTTCACCCGCTCCTCCTCTGCCCCTATTCCCTTCCTCTCCCCATATGCCCTTCCTTTCTCCCTCTCCCAATCCTGTTCCCCTCTCCTATTCTCATCCCCATCTCCCCATCCCATCCCCTTCTTCCCGTCCCATCCGCCTCTCCCCATCCCATTCTCCTCTCCTCCCCCACCACCAGGCATCAGGGCTGACAATGATAGTGCCAGTACAGCAGGCCTCACCGCACCCCTTCCCCCTCTCCCCACCCCATCCCACCCATCCCAACCCATTTCATCCCATGCCATCCTCTCCTTCCCCACCGCCAGGCATCAGGGCTGACAATGATAGTGCCAGTACAGCAGGCCTCACCACACCCCTTCCCCCTCTCCCCACCCCATCCCACCCATCCCAACCCATTTCATCCCATGCCATCCTCTCCTTCCCCACCGCCAGGCATCAGGGCTGACAATGATCGTCCCGGTGCAGCAGGCCTCACCACACCCCTTCCCCCTCTCCCCACCCCATCCCACCCATCCCAACCCATTTCATCCCATGCCATCCTCTCCTTCCCCACCGCCAGGCATCAGGGCTGACAATGATCGTCCCGGTGCAGCAAGCACCGCCAGACACGTGGGCGTTCTTCCGGCCGTTCACCCCGGGCATGTGGGTGCTGCTCTACTTCTCCTTCTTCTACACCGCGCTCGTCGTCTGGTTCCTCGAGCACCTGCAGAACGACGACTTTGGAGGCAAGCTGCACCAGCAGCTCGCCACCAGTGTCTGGTGCGTGGGGGGGAAGGGGTGGTGTTGAGGGCGCGGACCGGACGGGAGGGAGTAAAGGGGAGAGATAGGGTGAGGGGTTGGTTGGGGGGAAGGGTGGGAGGTAGGTTAGTGGCTGGGCTGGAAGAGCGGATGGGGGCAGGTTGGGGGCAAAAGGCATTGGTGGAGGTCTGTGTGTGCTGGGTGGTTTCACAGGAGGGAGGAGGGGGGCAAGAAAGGTGGGTGGGTGGGTGGGACTCACACATTACGCATGTGCGTGCAGCGCTTGCAACATGGCTGCGTGTGTGCCAACTGCCCTCTGGTCACTCACATCTCTTTCCATCTGCCATGTGGTGTGTGTGGGGGGTAAGGGGAGGGGGGGGTGTTGTGTGTGTGTGGGGGGAGAGGGGGGGGGTGGGTGGGTGTAGGTGTGGGTGTGGTGTGGGTGTGGGTGTGGGTGTGGGTGTGGGTGTGGGTGTGGGTGTGGGTGTGGGTGTGGGTGTGGGTGTGCGTGCGTGCGTGCGTGTGTGTGTGCAGGTTCTCCTTTTCCACGATGACCTTCTCTCAAGGTAAGCTCTCCCGCACTCTTCTCCGATTCCCCCTCAACCCTCCAACCTCAACTTCCTACTCTAAGCTTCAAGCCCATGCTGCGTCCTCAAACCAAACTCATCTCCATGCTACGTACTAAGAGACTTTATCTCAGACTTCTAAAAATGCTTGCTAAGAATGCTTTCAACTTGCAACTGGGTGTACACCGCACTCCTCCTTTCCAACACCCCTACCTACCAACTCCCCCTCTCCCTGTCTCCCCCACTCCCCCTCTCCCTGTCTCCCCCTCTCCCCTTTCTCCCTTCTCCCCGTCCTCTCCTCATCAGAGGAGAACGTGAAGACGACGCTGGGGCGTATAGTGGTGATAGTGTGGCTGTTCGTGGTCTTTGTCATCTCCTCTGCCTACACCGCCAGTCTCTCCTCTGTGCTCACCGTCAGCCAGTCCGAACCCACCATCCAGGTGCAGTGCGCCTTCACTTCTGCTGCCGCCGCCGCCGCCGTTGCAGCAGCCGCCACGGCTGTTGCTGTTGCTGCTTTTGCCGGCGCCACCGCTCGCCACTTTTGCTGCTGCTGCTGCTCTTATCCTATCCATCTCCATGCCTGGTCTGGATGTATGCACTCGTGCATTCCGTGTCGTACTTGTATGGTGTGTGTTTTCTTACTTTTGAGAATTCTCAAAAGTAAGATTCACATGTATGGTGTGTGTTTTTTTAGGATTCCGTCCTCTGACCTCTTTATCTGGTGTCCATGTACCCTCTCTCCCTGCATGCCTTTGACTTTCCACACTATGCCACGCTCCACCACACACCACACCACACCACACCACACTGCGCCATGCGTCCATCGGACAACGGCAGGACTTCCAATCGCTGGTGGTGACAAACGATGCAGTGGGGTACCAGCGCGGTTCCTTCTCCTTTGAATATCTTCGAAGCGTGGGGATCAACGAGGTGAGGCCGTGGAAGAGAGAGGGGCGAGGGGGAGAGAGGGGCGAGGGGGAGAGAGGGGCGGGGGAGAGAGAGGGGCGAGGGGGAGAGAGGGGCGGGGGAGAGAGAGGGGCGAGGGGCAAGGGAGAGGGAGAGAAAGAGAAACGTGTGGGGACTCTGGCTTGGGGACTAGCAAGGAACTGGGGGGTGGTGTTTGAATGATGCAGCATTCATGCTTTGCAGACGACACGGTGAGCAACTCACATGCCTGTTTCCCCATGCCTCCCCATTCCTCTGCACGCTTCCCCACCCCCACCGCACCCCTTACCCCTCAAGTCATGGGCTTCCACCTTCCGCCTCTCCCACACATTCGCGGCTGGTGGCGCTATCACACGATGCGGAAGTGGACGGGGTGCTGAACAACCCTCGTGCTGCCTCTCCACACCTCCCCACACCTCCCCACACCCCTCCATACCCCCTGACTCCCTTCCCCACCCCACCACCCCCCCCCCTCCCCCTCCCTTTTTCCACCCCTCTCCTCCAGTCGCGGCTGGTGGCGCTATCAGACGAGGCGGAGGTGGACGGGGCGTTGAACCGCACGGACGTGGTGGCGATGGTGGATGAGGAGCCCTACGTCGACATCTTCCTCTCCGACTACTGCGCCTACAGCAAACCCTCCCACTCCTTTGCCACCTTCAACCTCGGCTTTGTCAGTACTCCGTTCCGCCCCTCGCTCCGCCCTCCCCTCCCTTCCCCCCTGGGCCATGCCCCTGCCCGCCCCCGCCCTTCTCCCCACCACCGCGCCTACCCCTCCCGCCCCTTTATTCTCGTTTCGTTCCCGTTCACCCCCTTATTCACTTCTTTTTCTGCTGCCCACACTGCCTCCAATCTCCCCATCTGCTCTCTCCTGCTATTTCTTTCTCCCGAATCCCTTCCGTCATCTCGTACCTCCGCTCACCCGCCCCCACCCTTTACCCTTTCCCCCCCGCCCCTCGGCCCCCATCTCCACATTTTTGTTTCCTCTCTGAGTTCTCCCTAACCATAACCCGCTTTTTGTCCGATTGTCGTCATTCCTGTGATTCAGTGACAGGGTAGGGTTCAATGCAGCCTATACTGCCTCGATATGTAGGCAGTGCAGCATTCAAATTCTCGCTTTCCACTGCTTTAAGCTCCCTGCCTTGCCCCTCTGATTCAAGAATCGGCGACTGCTACTCTCTTCTTCTCTCAAAACCCACCCCACTCCTCCCCCCACGCCCCCGCACGCCCCTCCCCTTGCGCATCCGTGCTGGCAATGCTGAAATGGTGTGTTGCATGTTGCCGTGCGAATTGAGCAGGCGTTTCAGAAGGGGTCATCGCTGGCCAACGACATGTCCATTGCCATAGAGGCGCTCGCTCAGAACGGCCAGCTGCAGTCGCTGCACGACCTCTGGCTGCACGTGAGACCCTCCTCCCCTCCCCTCGCCTTCCCCCTCTCTCCCTCCACTTCTCCTTCTCTCCCCCCTTCCCTCCCTCGCTCCCTCGCTGCCTCGCTCCCTCCCTCCCACCCAACTCCCCGCACATCCCTCCTTCCTCCTTGCACCATTTCACCTCCTGCTTTACCCCCCACCTCCCACCCCCCTTACTCCTCTGCGCTCCCTCCTCTCCACTCTCCACTCCTTCCTCTCCTCTCTCCCATCTCCCCTCCTCTCTCACCTCTCCCCTCCTCTCTCCCCTCTCCCTCCATCCTCTCTCCTCTCAGGGCAAGGGCACGTGCAGCAGCGGGCCGTCACTGCAGTCAATCCGCCTGGGCCCAGACTCCTTCTGGGGGCTCTTCCTGCTCTACGTCGTCGCAGCATGCGGGGCATGCCTTCTCTACGTCGTGCTGCTTGTTTACCGCGGACTCAAGGCCTTCCAGTGCGTTCCTACCTGCAACTCTCTGCAACCCTCTGCAACCCTCTGCAGCCCTTGCGCTTCCCCTGCAAACCTTGTGCTTTCCTTGCAAGCCTTTCACCTCCCATGCCCTACCTTGGCCTTGGCTTAACTTGCCTGTGTGTTTCTTGTGTGTCCCTTTCCCCAGCCTTGCCCCAGCCTTGCCCCGGCCATGTTCTGCTTTGCTTTGTAGGCCTGCTTGCTTCCATCGCTTCTCCCCTTGCTCCTGCCACTCCCTATCCTCCCATGCCACTGTTTTTATTAGTCTTCTGTGCATGGGAGAATAGGTTGTGTGTGGTAACATTTGAACACTCATACTCCCACCTGATTGTACAAAAATCCTTTTGTGGGCCGATCCGCAATCCCACTCCCACCCCACTCACATCCCCACACTCACTCCCACTCTCATCCCCACACTCACCCCCACTCCCATCCCCACACTCACCCCCTCCTGCTTCCCTAACTGCTTCCCCCACCCCCCACTGGCAGGCATGCGCGCCATAGCCATGCCGACGAGAGCGATGAGCACACCACCCCCGTTGCTCCCATGCCCAAGCCCAAGCGCCTCAAGAGCCACGTCAGGCATTACAAGAGCGCCTACACTGCTGTGAGTGCTGCCCGTCTCCTCATTTGTACCTTTCTCCACATTTCCCTCCTCTCTTCCCTTCCCTTGCTTCCCATACTCGTTCCCTCACCTCCTTCCGCCCCTCCTTCCCCTCCTTCCCATTCCATCACTGCCTCGCGACTTTCCCTCGTCCTTACCTCTCTCCCTGTCCCATCCCCTCTACCGTCTCCCCTCTCCCCTCTTCCCTCTCTTCTCTCCCCCTTCCCATCTCCCTCTCCCTGTTACTCTCTCCCCTCTCCACTCTCTCTCCTCCCACGCAGGGTGTGGAGTGGAGCATGCAGAGGAACATGGGGTACTCCACACGCGCACCTCTTCCCTCCCCCATCTCATCTCTTCCCTCTCCCGTCTCCTCTCTCCCCTTTACCCCTTTCCTCTCTCTCTCTCCTCCCACACAGGGTGTGGAGTGGAGCATGCAGAGGAACATGGGGTACTCCACACGCACACCTGCAGGGGTGCTCAGCAGCAGTGATCTGTCCAAGTACGACGTATCCAGCCTCGACTTCTCGGCCCACCACTCTTCGGGACCAGACCCAAGTCGCAGGCAAGTTGTTGGTGGTGGTTGCGAGGTGCTGGAGTTGTGCTTCACGTCTTACACAGGTTTCTGCTGTGCACAAAAACCACACTATCAACTCACTATTTGGCTATAGAGTTGGGATAAAATAATCTGTATTTCCTTCTCCCCTCCTTTGTATGCAGGGAGGAAGTTGAGGGTGATACTGTGGGTGTGTTAGCTCCAGGACATCAGAGCCCGGTACAAGGTGACTTGGACAGACAACTTAGTGATCTGCGCGTATCTCGCTTCCAGTCGTTGGAGCACTCTTCGTAATGTGTCTTATTCCATGGTTTTATTTATTGTGTGCTTGTTCCGTGTGCTTGAAGACGCACTAGAACTGTTCACCATTTTGGATAATTGGGGTGGGAATAGAGGTCCCTGATTGAAAGATACTGCCTGTAATAAAGATTGTAATAGCATATGTAGATGTTCTCCTGTAACACTACAGTAGCCCTTTCTTCTCGGTCAACCTCACTGCAGATCAACGGAAGCGCCAGCTGGAAGTTCAACTGCTTGCGCGCCTCGCGTGTGTCGACCCTGCCACATGACACATCGCGGCGCGTAATTCCAAGAGGCCAAATCGAAACAGCAATCCATCCACTTCACTGGCTTTCCCTGCAACAATGCACGCAGAGACCGATCGTGGCTCGTGCAAATAAATTGCGCCCCACATCATTTCTCTCTCACATTCGGTTCGACCTTAGACATTGCCAACCACAATCGAACGTTCTGAACCGAGTTTTGCTGAGAATCAGCCTTCTCTAACCAACGCGCCTCTTTCTGCACCGGTCTCAGCCCCGTCTGCTGTTTGCAATTTACAGGCTTGGCGGTTACGTCCCAAGGGGTCACTCCCCCGTGCCGATCATTCTGCAAGCTCCAATCCCGAGGCCGCTTACTCGCCACCACCCGTCTCCATTTCACTCGTCGAGGCCCATCCCGTCGGCTCGGATCTCCCGCTTTTATTCCACGCGAAATCACACACGCTGCGCTCTTTCCCCACGCAGCCTGCGAATCCCAGGGATCTCCCTCGATCTCACGACAGCCGCCCCAAGTCACCACACGGCAATCATCATGGGTGTCGATTCCCCCCGTCGCACGTTCCTCTCCTCCCCCGCAACAGTCAAGCCTGGCGGAAACCCCGCGTACAAGGCCCCGGGCAATCTCATCGCCGCGGCCGCTCTTTCCGCTTCCGCCTCCGCGGCTTCCGCGACGGCTGCCGTCGCGCCTCCGCCGACTTCTTCCGCCCCCGGCGCTTCTCCGCTCGCCGCGGGCCTGTCCCCGCACCGCAAAGCTTCCCCGAGCGCCCTTGCGCTGATGATGATTCGGCGGGAGGCAGCAGCGGCTGGCGATGTTGCTAAAAACGCGTCCTCCTTCCTCTCTCCCCGAAAGAACAGCAGCGGCGCCGCCGCCAACGGCACCAACGGCGCCGTCGCTCCGGATGGATTGTCCTACGCGACGGCCGACGCCGCGACGGCCGGATTCGTGTCTCTGAGTCTGGGCGACTCGGAGGTCGGACACAGCGGCGCGCGCAGCCATGAATCTCCTCTCTCTAGAGGACGCCCAGAACTCGAAAGCGCCACCGCCGCCTTCCACGCCGCAACCGGCGGCCGTGCTGAACGGGAGCGCCGGATCGCCTCTCCTGAAACGCGTGGGTTCCGCTGCCGCCGCCGCCGCCGCCGCCGCCGCCGCCGCTGCCACTAATTCGCCTACTAAAAACGGCGCGGCGGCGGCCCCGCCGGCTGCGCCGGCGAAGTTCGTGTATCACGAGGACAGGGTGCGCGTGGTGCGGCCCGAGGACGACGCGGACGGCAAGGCGCTGCGCGCCAAGCTGGTGGCGCTGGTGCCGTTCCAGAAGGGACAGCTGATCGCCAAAATCGAAGGTCAGACCGCCACCAATGCTACTGTGTTTTTGAACCGCATAATTTGTTAACATTTACGCCAGAGGATATAAATTGCCCCATGCCCCATCCATCCCCCCCTCCTCCACACACCCCCAACGCCTCATCCCTCCTCTCACCCCACCAGGCGTCTCCTGGGACGTGCCGTGTAGCTACAGCACGGTGCAGTACGGTGCGCAGCGGCACCTGGAGCTCAACTCCGACTTGGTGTACATGAACCACAGCTGCGACCCGAACGTGGCGGTGAGCGTGGGCGCCATGGAGGTGCGCGCGCTGCAGGCGATTCCTGTGGGCGCTGAGCTCACCTTCTTCTATCCTTCCTCCGAGTGGGAGATGCAGCAGCCCTTCACGTGCTGGTGCGGCTCTGATAAGGTCAGTAATGGGGGTTGGGCGTGTGGAGGAGATAAGGGGGAGTAAGGGGTCCATGACTTGGAGGCTGTGTTTTGAATTTGGTCTTGGGGTTCTGGCGAGAGAAGGATGGGTTTTACTTCTCAGAACAGGTGCTCTGTGGCCGGACCTGACCCATCAACATTTCCCTCACTTCATCACCCTCTTTCCCTCTCCCCTTCTCTCCCCTATCCCCTCCTCTCCTCTCTCCACACCCCCCTTATCCCGTGCCCAAGCAGTGTGTGCGGGTGGTGGCGCAGCGCCAAGTTGCTGACAGTGGACAAGCTGAGCCAGCACTTTGTGAAATGGCGCTGAGGTCAAACTCTACCCATCAGCATTCCCTTCCCTCCCCACCCCTCCATCTCCCCCTCTTCCCCCCCCCATCCCCTGTTCCCTCTGCATGAGTAGTGTGTGCGGGTGGTGGCGGGGGCCAAGTTCCTGACGGTCGACAAGCTGAGCCAGTACTTCGTGAACGCGCACATCCGCGACATCATCTGCAACACGCTCTCCTCCAAGCTGCCCAAGCAGCACAGCGCCGTGTGATGTGATGTGCATGCGGGTGCACTGGGGGGCAGGGGGGATTCAGAAGGGTGGAAAGTTGGAGCAAGAGCGACGGAGATGCGTTCAGATGCAGCGATGCAGCAGCGGAGCAGCGACGGAGCCCCTCCCCCCCCATCCCCTCCCGCTCTTCCCCCAGCCTTCTTCCCACCGTAGATCTATTACGCAGTATCTCTCAGGATCTGCTGTACCTACACCACTTCCCTCCATGTAGTGATGTGCATTCTATGGCATGGCATTCCATTGCACCCTGCGGAGGTGCTAGTTGCTGCAGCCCATTCCCATGCTAGACTTGCCCTTTGACACTCTACTCTGGACAACTGTACATGCTGCTACCTTTGCCATTGTACAGTTACTGTATGAGGATTTCTAACTCCTTTATCAAAGCACATACATGGACTTTAACAAACATGAAAGGCAGAGACTTGAACAGCTACCTAACCTCTGCTACTACCAAACCCATTCCCGGTTATCAACCGAGGTTAGGAGCTACCGTATACCCCCCCTCACACCGTGGTTCTGGATAAAGTTTAGTATTGACCCGCACCAACTAGATTCTTAGCAACGAGGGCTTGCTGCTGCTGTAGCTGCTGATGCTCCCCAGTCGCCCCCCTCCCCCCTCCCTTCTCACTTCCCCTCCTCACTCCCCCACCCTTTCCCCCCTCGTCCGCATCACTCCTCCTCACCACTGCTGCCCCCATCACTCTCCTCCACAGCAGGAAACTCATCCTTCAGCAATCCCTCTCTCAGCGCGTTCTGGTAAAGCGCCACAGCTGCCAGCACCTTGCAGTCAGCAGACTGGCGCCATATTGTGTCCAGAGGCCGCACGTGCACCTTGATCAGCTCCCCCTCGTGCCGTAGCCCCGTCTGCCGGCCCTGCAGCTTGGCTATGCGCTGAGAGGGTGATTAGGGGGGAAGAGGGAGTGGATTAAGGAAGTGGGATTGAAGAGCGAGGGGTGGTATGGAGGGGAAAGCGGCCACACGTGCACCTTGATCAGCTCCCCTCCGTGCCGTAACCCGTCTGTCGGCCCTGTAGCTTGGCTATGCGCTGGTGTGGGAATTAGTGGGGAGTGGAGGAGTAGAGGAGGTCGAGTGACAGGGGCGTTGAATTGGAGGGGAAAGAGGATGCACATGTTTTTGAGTCGACTCAAAAATTGGAGGGGGAAGAGGATGCACATGCATTTCAGAGACGGCTCAGTGATAACTCGTACTTTACGGGGCGGATACAGTGGTTTGCGATTGAGTAATTTGAGATACTGTACTGCGAGTGGTGAGAGACTTACAGCAGGTGAGACGGTGGCTCGATAGAGGAAGAGCAGTATGCCCTCGTCGCACCCGCCCTTATGGGATAGGTGAGAGGGGTAGAGGAGGAGGGGGAGAGAAGCCGGAGAAAGAGAGGAGGGAGAGGAAGGAGGGAGAGGGAGGAGGGAGGGAGAGAGGAGGGAGGATGTAAGAGAGAAATGGGAGGGGGAGAGAGGACAGAAACGTGGAGAGAGGGAAGAGAGAAAGGGAGGGAGCGAGAAGAGAAAGAAGCGGGAGGGGAGGTGAGGAGGGAGGGGAAGGTGTGAGGAGAGAAACCTATAGCATTGGTGGGACGGGGATGAGAAATGAAGTGTACGAGGGAAGAAGAACGGCAAGCACAGACTTGTGGCAGGAGTGGAGAGCATGACCGTGGCATGGATTTTTTGAGAATCAAAACATAGATCCCTGCAACGGCAGGACTGGGGAGCATGATCTGAACAGATAGGAAGCAAAACTGGAAGGAAGGAATGGGAAGTGGAAGAAGAGTATCGTACTGGGGAAGGCAGCATCTGTTGCCTGGTGGAAGGTTCCAGGAAGGCGGTGAGGTTGATGAGGTGGTCGTGACGCACTGTGATGCCTGTCTCCTCCTTCACCTGCCATGGGTACGTGCATGGACGGATGTATGCATGGTTGGAGCATCGGGGGGGGAGTATCGGGGGGTGAGTGTCGGGGGGTGAGTGTCGGGGGGTGAGTGTCGGGGGGTGAGTGTCGGGGGGTGAGTGTCGGGGGGTAAGTGCCGGGTGCGGACATCGGTGGGAACTAGAAAGGATGGTTGGGGTGAGGCGGATGCAAAGCCGCAGTCGCAGAGCAGAAAAGAGGATGTGGGAAGACACGAACCTCCTTTGCTGCGGTCCCGACAAACTCGCCGTGATTGCCGTCTAGCATACCAGCTGGCATCTCCAACAGCACTCTTCCCACTGGTACCCTCGCCTGATGGGGGAAGCGAGGGGGAGAGGGGTAGGGGTGAGAAAAAAGGGAGAGGGAGAGTGATGGAGAGAGAGAAATAAGAGTGGGAAGAGGGGGAAGAGAAACGAGCGAGGAAGCAGGAAGGTTTTGAGGGAAACAGAAGAGAGGCGTGGTACGAACTGGAGTGGATAACTGGGTATGAGAATGAGCAAATGAATTAGAGAGCGCAGTGAACCTGCTCCGTGAGGACAACGTAGTCAGTGGGGGGGTGCGGAGGGCCATCCCCTTGTGGCTGAGGCTGTGCCACTCGCAGCAGCATGAAGATGCCCACTGCTGGGCCGCGCGCAAACACTATGCCAGGCAGCTGCATGGTGGGTGGGAAGGAAGGAGAATGGGAGCAGAGGGAGAAGGGGAAAGGGCAGGGGGGAGAGCTGGCAGCATTTGAAGATGCCCACTGCTGGGCCGCGTGCGAATACTATGCCTGGCAGCTGCATGGAACGGGGAAGAGAGCGGTGGGTTGGGTGGGATGGGAGTGGAAGGAGGCAGCGGAAGGAGAACGGGCAGGTGGGTGGGAGAAGGGGAAAAGGCAGGGGGGAAGGGGACGGCATGCAGGGGAATGGCACGGGCAAATCCCTGGCTGTAGCAGCAAGCATGCCGTACGCACCTTGGCGCCTGTAGCGACGTCCGTCACATCGGCCTTGAACTTCACGAATCCCACCTTGCCCGCCCCAAACATGTCCACACTCTGTATTGTCACCCCGTGCAAAGCGCACTTGGCACCGTCACACCCCCCCTGCGCGCCCAGCAGCCCGTTGCTTGCCGCCATCTGCTGCAGCCATGCCACGAAGGGGGCTGAGCGCACCGCCGCCCTGGTCGCACCGGGGGGAAAGAGGGGGGAGGGGCAGAGATGCAAGGGTGATGGGAGGGATGGAAGGGGTAAGGTAAGCGATGAGGACCAGGAGAAGATGGCGTGACATGAGAAGAGAAGGAAGAGGGATGGTGAGTGGGGTGGGAGTTTGGGGTAGGAGTAGGGGGAGGGAGAGAACCGGGGGGGGGGGGGGGGGAAGGGAGAGAAGAGGTGAGAGGATGGGGTAGAGTGGGCGGGGAGTAAGTAACGCACGTACTCTAGTTCCTGCCGGCTAACGCCTGCCCCAGCCTTCACCGGCACCACACGCGACTGCACCCGCGCATGCCCCTCCGCGCACTCTTCTCCCTTCTCCCCCCGCGCCCCCCGCTCCCCTGCATCCCCGCGCCCCTCCTCATCCCCAGTCACCCGCGCATCTATCCGCACGGTCGCCACAATCTCCCCGTCCCGCTCCGCCACCCCCTCTAGCACCACGAGCGCGGGGGGGACAAGCGCGGGCGCACCTACTGCCGCGCCTGCGCCTGGCGCAGCCACCGCGGCTGCGCCTTCTCCCCCCACGCGCGCAACTCCAGCTCCTGCGCCTCCCCCTACCGGCGCAGCCTCAGCGCCTCCGGTCGACATTCCGCGCACGGCGCGGAAGGGTGGCCGCGGTAACTGCGCGTGAGCAAAGTGCGGCGCAAGGTGCGGCGGGCTGAACGGCGGGATGAGCGGCGGGAGGGAGGAATAAGCAAGCCGAGGGACCTGACAGGCAAAATGCGCCAGGGGCTGTTTCGCGTGCGGCAGGGACGTGACACGTGTAAGGTGGCTGCGCGGAGCTTTGAACGCGCGGAGTGGCGCCGCCGTACGTGGAGAACGGAGCGAAGAGGAAACGCGCACGAATTTGCTCGATAGATGCGAGAGAGTCGCGCGCATTCTAGTTCCTGAAATTTAGAAGCCAAAGTATCGCGGTAGGCTCTGAGTAGTTATTTACGTGCACAGCACAGGCACCATCCAGTTCCGTAGGGGGGATATGGGGCGGAATATCCCAATGTTGGAGGAGCGAAATGTAGGGCATGGGGGGCAATTATCATATCCTCCCTAAAGAGCGCCTGCTGGCTGATAGCTAGTAAGTTCTTGTACACTTTACCAGGAACCCCAATGCTCTACAGAACAATACTTTACATATACAAGCATTCTAGATACAGACCACAAAAGAGTGGTGATCAGCGCATATAAGGCACTAATAGTGCCTAGTTAGCATTCATATAGTAATACAATGCCTATGTAACACAGTACTACAGTACCTAGCCTCTACAACATATATGGTAGTATTAGTGATGTATGGTTGTTGCAATAGCTAACACAATGCTCCTTCGCTCATCATCACCATACCCCCACATGGATCATGGAAATGGAAGGGAGCAGCGGAGACAGTGTCACGCCAAAGCTACCAGTTATCCCTAACCCACGTCATGTCTGTCCCTCCTCTCCCCCTCTCCCACACCTTCAGCCTGCCTCCCCTCCTGCACCTGCCCGTTCGCCTGACCGTTCTCTCCCCCATCCATATCCCCACCCCCTCGCCCATCCGCCTCACCATCTGCCCCTCCCCCTGCCACTCCTCCTGCCGCTCCCCTTGCCGCTACCCCTACCCCTCCCCCTGCCGCTCCCCCTGCCGCTCCCCCTGCTGCTTCCCCTGCATGTATCTGCACTCTTGCCTGTGACCCACTCTCGCCTCCCACTCTCCCTCCACCTGAATGCCCGCCTCTCTGCCTGTCACTTGCCCCCACCCTCCCAGCGCCCCCTCTCCGCCCCTCCCTCTCTGCCTCTCTCTGTGCATGCATCTGTGAGCGGTACAGGGCAGCTTCTAGCTTAGCAGCATGGGCGCTCCATTCCCCCAGTAAGCCGCGCAGGCGAGCGTGTTCCTGAATATACTGCAGGGCGTGAGTGAATGGGCGGATGCGGACAGGGAAGGAGGGTTTCGGTTTTAAGGCGCCGGCGCTGTTTCAAGGCGAATGCACAGGTGTGCATGCAGGTTACATGCCGGTTGGAATGTTGCCTTCAAGGTTCCCAGACAGCGCCTACAATGTAAAACGACAGGGCGTTATGAAAGCACGAAACTCATGAATACATACCAGCTTGTTCTGCTCGTCCAGTCTATGCACCTCTTGCTCCAGGTCTGTTTTTTAATTGACTCAAAACACACTCCCACCTCCACCACCCTCTGCTGTGTCGCCTCGCCACCATCTCGAGTTTTGAGACGCGTTTCCAGACATCTCAAAACACATCTTTTCTTTCTTTCTTTCTTTCTTTCTTTCTTTCTTTCTTTCTTTTTCTTTTTCTTTTCTGAGACGTCGCAAAACTACATACCAGCTTGTTCTGCTCGTCCAGTCGATGCACCTCTTGCTCCAGCTCCACCACCCGCTGCTGTGTCGCCACCATTTCTCTGTACACGCTCTGCATCAACCCCCCCTCCTGCAGCAGCCGCTGCGCTGGTGGCACTTGCAGCGCTGCTGACCCTGAACTGCCCCCGGAGAGGGCGGAAGGGACCACAGGGGTTGAAGGGCTAGGTAGAGATCGGAGGGGGACGGAGGAGGAGGTAGGGGAAGTGAGGGGGATTCGCGTGGTTGAAACCCCGCCGGCAGCGGCAGCAGCAGCAGCAGAAGAAGAAGCGGGAGTGGTGGTGGTGGTGGAGGGGGGGGTGGTGGAGCCTTGTGCGTGCCGTGGTATGCTGAGAGTGGGGGAAAAGGCCGATGCAGCGGCAGCAGCAGCAGCAGCAGAGGAAGAAGACGCAGGGGATGAAGAGGAGGAAGAAGAGGCAGCAGCGGCGGAGGGGGAGGGGCTTGGGAGGGGTGCGTAGCGGAACGATTGGGCCTCCTGTGCGGCAGCTGCTGCTGCAGAGGAGGGTAGGGCGGCGTCCTCTGGTTTGGTGAGAGGCGAGGAGAAGAAGAGCAGATGCTCGTGTAGTGGCTGTTGGGATGACAGTGGGAGGAAAAGGGGAGGGTTGTGAAGGAAGTTGAAAAGGTGTAAGTCCACCTAGAAAAAGAAGAGGAGCTGTTGGGGGATGGGAAAGGCAGGGAGGTGTGCAGGGAGGGAACGGGAGTGAGGAAATGGAAGAGACAGGACCGGCAAGGTTAGGAGATGTGGGACAGGGAAGCGAACAGGAAGGACCGCGTGAGAGTAATTGCAAATCAGTCAGACAAAGGATGTGTCACCCACCCACACGCCACAAGAACAAGGAAGCAAACATGTACCTGCAGCATGCGAGCAATGCGGTGTTGCAGGTGCAGCCATGCTCTCTGCGACCAAACCAGCTGTGGCGATCCCACAGGCATCAGCGCCACCTCCCCTACCACCAACCCCACACCACCCCCGCCCCTACTCCCACCCTCACCACCACCATCACTCCCTCCTCTCCTCCTCCCCCTCCCTCGCCCACTCCCCGCTTCTCGCTCTTCCTCTCCCTCATCGGCCCCTCCCCCGCCGCTGCTAACAGCCCCGAGGCCTGTGTGTGAAAGCCAAGCGTCCTGGCGTCGTGCGCGGCACACAAACGCCTGGTGAATGAAGGCTATAGACGCACAGGCAAAGAAAGCGGATTCAACCAGAGATATGAACCCCAGCGACAGCCATAGAAGCTTACACACTACTTCCTCTTCCCCTTCCTCTTCCTCGCCTCTTCCTTCCCCTGCTTCTCCTCCTTCTCCTTCCCGTTCTCCTCTTCCTACTTCTGTTTCCCTTTGGCCCTTCCCTTCTCGCTCCCCTTTCCCTCGTTGTCCCTGGTGCTGCTTCTGCACACACTCTGGTCGATGGAACCTCAGCCATCTCCGCAAGGCGAGCAGGCCTGAAGCACCGATCCTTACGACGCGTCGTTTCAACCCTCGTACGCAGTTTGAAGCCCCATGTAAGCCAACCTGCCATGCCGACCCAGGAGTCCGCCCATTTTCCACTAGCAGAAATGGCTGCTGTCGTTGACGCAGGTAGCGATGAGACGAGGAGGTAGGGGACGAGGGAGAGGAGGAAGAGGGGGAGGAGGAAGCGGGATATTGGGAGGAAAGGGAGGAGGAAGAGAGCGAGGAGGAGGAACCAGGCTGTTTGGAGAAAGGGGGGCGAGCTTGAGAGGAGTGTTGGGGTTTGCGGTGGTGGGGGATCGTTCTGGGAGGAGATATACCTGCTAGTAACGCGGATTGTAATGTGGATTTCCGGGAGGACGAAGCGAAGTTATTCTGTAGAGCTGCTGTTGAATGAGGGGGCGATAGGAATGATGGGAGTGATGGGGGTAATGTTGGTGGTGGGAGTGATGCGAAAGGAGCAAATGATACGAGGGAAGGAGGGCCGGGGACAGTGGGAGGGGCAGGGAGAGGAGGAGGAGGTGGGGGGTACACGGGACCTGAAGGGGACGAGCCAGGCTGAAACAGAGGCACCAGAAGCAGCATGAGTACGAGCAGGAGCGCGTTTCCCGCTGACAGCGCCACTAACGGGGATACAGCTAACCACCCTAACCGGCATACAAGCAGCAGGTCTCCGAACAGGAGATGTAGGAGCAGTTGACGCGACAAGATCACGTATAGGAACGCGAAGAGCGTAAGAAAAACGAGGTGTATTAACAGGAGCACCTGCGAGAGGATATTAGGGTTAGTTATGCGCGTTACGAGGAAGCTCGGCGCGTACTGCGGCCAGAGGGATCGACACGCGAGGAGGGCGAGAAGCGAAGTGAGGAGGAGGAGAAGGAAGGCGTAGAGCGAGAGCGTGGGGACGAGGCTGATGAGCGGAGGGTTCGGGGGGCACAGGGGGCATGGGGGCGCTCCTGCCCCCCCCGTCTCGGGGTCTGGGTTTCCGCCTGTAGTGTTCCGCGCAGAATTAGCGGGATTTCCGGAATTAAAAGGGTTAGTAGGGTTACTTTCTGGCGACGGCGGGAAGGAGGGCGGGGTGTACAGGAGCGGGTCGTATAGGCTAGGATCCGCGCCAACCGCGCTACCCCGCGCGGGGTTTCCGCCGCCGCGGACGCTGCCACCCGCAGGGCCACCGCCGCGGGAGCTAGTGCTAGCGCCCGAATACGAGCTTCCCCCAGGAAACACGGTGCTTCCACTGGTGCTCGGCCCGGCGTCTCTCGCGCGGGCTCTGCTAGTTCCACCAATTGCCCCTAGCGCGGATGCCATTAACGGGGATGCGCTTAGCGGGGAGGAAGCAAGCGCGGATGCACGAGACGGATGCGTGGGAGGTGGCGGTGGTGTTGCATTCCCACCTCCGAGGCTACTGGCGGCGGCGGTGGTGGCACCGTTATTGTCCCATCTTCCTACAGTCACGTTGCCTAGACCGTTGAATCCGCTTCTGTGGAGAGCGCTAGCGTCGTAATGAGAAGGCAAGACGGGAGAGTAAGGAGTGACTGGTGAGTAAGGGTTGACCGGAGAGTAAGGAGATCGGCCCGCGGAGAGAGGAGGGCTTGCTTGCGTGCATCGATCAGCTGTGGACATCGCGAGCGGAAGGTGGGCGGAAAAGAACGAGCGAAGTGGCGCAAATTCAAGAAATATAGAGACATGAGCTCGGTCAGCTAAGACACCTAAGTACGCAGCGCATGGGGTGAGATATGGGCGTTGCTTCCGCAGGTATTATTGCGAGCACACAAGGAAAGCCTAGGCATTAAGAGCAGACTCGCAAACATATGGAAGTACATTGTGTAGATGTACATCTGTTCTGACATTTTCTCTACAACTCAAAGGACAGCGTTTTCTTCTAGCTTCAGACATTATAAAAGGGAAAAAACCAATTTTTTCCAGGTAAATATTGTTGCGATCAGAAGTTGATTGATCCTAGGATCACCTCGGGAAGGTTCCCACACAGTTGATTGGTAGTGTTGGGCCCTTCACCTCAAAACAGAGCCAATGTAAAATGTTTGAGATGATAAAAACATGCAAATACAATCTTATAAACAATAGTGCAGGGGGATACCAATGGTTCTAGCTAGCCATGTACTCTAAGGGGTACGATTCATTATTCAAAATCATCCCCAACTATGCTACTCGAACAGTTACGAAACTATTCCCGCCAATCCCCAGGGCGCCGCGACAGGCAACGGGAGGGGGCGACGTGCGGGCCCCCAGGGCGCCGCGTCGGGCGACGGAAGGGGGGCGACGCCTAGGCCCCAGGGCGCCGCGACGGATGACGGGAGGGGACAGCGCGCGGAGCCCCGGGGCGCCACGACGAGCGACGAAACCGCCGCGCGCGCCCGGGGCGCGCGGCGGGCAGGAAACCGCCACGCGCCCCGAGCGCGTGGCGGGCAGAAAACCGCCACACGCCCCGAGCGCGTGGCGGGAAGAAAAAACGTCGCGCGCCACGGGGCGCGCGACCGACAGTAGCAGCAGCTGAAGCATAGGGTGGGCCCATTGAGAAGGGTCGTAAGAACGGAACCACTCTGATAGCATGTCAAAATAGTAGGTAAAGTTAGACTTAAGAACTAGGGTTTAGGCAAGCCATTGGAAGAGAAGTCCAGGCAAGAAGGGGTTTGGACTATGTAATGACAGGTACAAATAGAAGAGAAGCAAGCTAGGAGTGGTGCACCACCACACAGAATACATTTGTGACTACACTACAACTATACTACATGCACTTATACAAAATATATGTAAGATATATTCTGACACAATACACCTACCATAACAATTTTAGCTTGGTTCGTGCGCACGGAAAATTTGGCGCCTGCAATGACGGCTGTGTCTGTCGACAAATGGTAACGAAGCGCATGGATCCCTATTGGAGTAGGGAAAAGGATCAAACGACCTGAATGTTGTTGTTTATTCGGGTGGCCCATGCTCAAATACACATATCAAAGCACTTTCAGCTTGGTTCTTGCGCACAGAAAAGTTTGGCGCCTGCGATGATGGCTGTGTCTGCCAACAAATGGTAACGAACCTCATGGATCCCGATAGGCGTACCGAAAAGCATCAAACGACCTGAATTTTGTTGCATATTTTAGTGGCACATGCTCAAATACACCTACCAGAGCGATTTCAGCTTGGTTCGGGCGCACAGAAAGGTTTGGCGCTGGTAACGAAGCGCATGGATGCTTGTAGGCGTAGGGAAAAGCATCGAACGACCTGAATGTTGTTGCATATTTGGGTGGCCCATGTTCAAATACACCTATCAGAGCAATTCAGCTTGGTTCGCGCGCACAGAAAAGTTCGGTGCCAGCGATGACGGCTGTGTCTACTGACAAATTGTTACGAATCACATGGATCCCTATAGACGTAGCGAAAAGCATCGAACAACCTGAACTGACTGTTGTTGCATATTTTGGTGGCCCATGCTCAAATACACCTACCAGAATGATTTCAGCTCGGTTCGTGTGCACAGAAAAGTTCGGCGCCTGCGATGACGGCTGTGTCTGCCGACAAATGGTAACGAAGCGCATGGATGCTTGTAGGTGTAGGGAATCGCATCGAAGGACCTGAACGTTGTTGCATATTTGGGTGGCTCGTGTTCAAATACACCTACAAGAGCAATTTCAGCTTGGTTCGTACGCACAGAAAAGTTCGGCGCCTACGATGACGGCTGTGTCTGCCGACAAATGGTGGTAAAGAAGCGCATGGATCCCTATAGACATAAGGAAAAGCATCAAACGACCTGAATACTATTGCATATTCGGATGGCCGATGTTCAAATACACCTACAACAACAATTTCAGCTTGATTCTTGCGCACATAAAAGTTCGGCGCCTGTGATGACGGATGTGTCTATTGACAAATGGTAACGAAGCGCATGGATTTCTATAGACATAAAAAAACCATTGAACGACCTGTATGTTGTAGCATATTTGAGTGGCCCATGTTCAAATACACATACCAGAGCAATTTTCGCTTGGTTCGTGCGCACAGAGAAGTTAGGCGTCTACGATGATGGCTGTGTTTGCCGACGAATGGTAACGATGCGCATGGATCCCAATAGGTGTAGGGAAAAGCATCAAAGAACCTGAATATTGTTGCATATTTGGGTGGCCTAAGCTTAAATACACTTTACCATAGCAATTTCATCTTGGTTTGTGTGCACAGAAAAGTTTGGCGCCTCCGATGACGGCTGTGTCTACCGACAAATGGTAACGAAGCGCATGGATCCTTATTGGCATAAGGAAAAGCATCAAACGACCTGAATGTTGTTGCACATTTGGCTGGCCCATGTTCAAATACACCTACCACAACAATTTCAGCTTGGTTCATGTGCACTGAAAAGTTCAGCGCCTGCCATGACGGCTGTGACTGCCGACAATGGTACCACCATATGCGTAGGGAAAAGTACCGAACGACCTGAATGATGTTGCATATTTTTGTGGCCCATATTCAAATACACCTACTAGAGCAATTTCAGCTTGGTTCGTGCGCAAAAATGTTAGGCATCTACGATGATGGCTATGCTTGCCGACGAATGGTAACGAAGCGCATGGATACCTACAGGCGTAGGGAAAAACATATTTGGGAATAGAATCGAACGACCTAAATGCTGTTGCATATTCGAGCGGCCCATGTTCAAATACACCTACCACAGCAATTTTAGCTTGGTTCGTGCGCACAGAAAAGTTCGGACGGCTGTGTCTGCCGAGAAATTGTAACGAAGCACATAAACCCCTATTGGTGTAGAGAAAA